TTATTATATAGTTAATATAATGAATTACAAATAAATTATTATTAAATTAAATAGTTTTCAAAAAGAATATGCTATAAAAATTCATTTTTATATCTAATATCTTTTATCAATTGTCACATGATTAAGTGACCATCTTGTATTAAGCACATCTCTGCAATATTTCAAAACAAATTATGTTTTTCAGTAATGTTTTTTCATTTTTGTTAATAATATAAAGTACTAAATATTAATTATATAAAATTAAATAGTTGAAGAACAAAGAATCATTTCAACTTAAACTTCTGCAGGTAATTAATAAATAACAAAAATATATATTACACCACTTATGGCAGTTACTACAAGAAGCTCTGCAGAGGTATGGCTCATTGGGAAAGCATCTAAGCAGCTCTCCTTGTCAAGATTGGCAACAAATGGAGATGTCCTCCGGTGTCTCCTCTTTCATCATCTGGGAGAGCATCTCACAATAAAGGACAGCATTCACCATACGATTCAAGAGCTGATTGTTATGTGGAATAAGGCAAGAATCCCAACACAAAGAATTGATTCTGGTGAAAAAAAACTTCAGAAATTATACGATTCCTATCTGCTCCTAAAAAAGAATCGAACTACAGACCTGGAAAGCAGTAGAATTAAAGAACAGATGTTCAAAGACACACTTTACGAGCTTTTTGACTTGGCAACTAAAACCGCAATGGAGACAATAACCATTGCTGAAGATAGGCAATTTCTTGCAATGCAGCGAGAAGATGTTACCAGCTGCAGCATGGCTGGAATTGATAAGAACTTACTGGCAAAGGAAGCCCGGAAGAGAGCTCGAGATCAAGCATATGATGCAAGGTTACCAAAACAGCAACACTCCAGTGGTCATCTCGATCCTGTCTCAGCCAACATCAGCAGCTCAGAAGACAGTCAAGACAGCGATGACGACCCAAGTTTTGAGATTCTGTCTTCTGCATCGCAATCTGTTTTTTCTACACCAAAGCCAAAGCGTCTGAAGAGTATTGTTTCCAGCCCGGAAGTTGCTGGAGCTTTGGACAGAGTTAACCTTCTAGATCGCAAAGCTATGTTCGTTGTCGCTTCAGTGGCTAAGGCACTGGGACATCCTCTTGCAGACTTAACTCTGTCTCGAAGTACAATCAGGAGATCTCGAATGTCTACCCATAAACACGTGACTCAGAATGACAAAGACAACTTTTCCATTGAATTTCCTTTGCTTCTACACTGGGATGGGAAACTGCTTCCAGATATCACCGGTTCAAAAGAAACCGTGGACCGAATTGCAGTGATTGTAACTGGAAATGGTTTGGTGAAATTGCTAGCAGTTCCAAAAATTGGAAGAGGAACAGGAGAGGAACAAGCTTGCTTAAAGATCTTGGATGATTGGAAAATTCGAGACAAACTTCAGGGTTTAGTCTTTGACACAACCTCGTCCAACACAGTTATCCACAAAGGAGCTTGTGTTCTCATCGAGAAAGCAGTTGGTCGTGATCTTGTAAATATTGGTTGCCGCCACCATGTACTGGAGGTCATTCTGAGCAATGTCTTTACAGCTCTCTTTGGTGGAACAGGGGGACCTGAGGTTGGCTTGTTCAAACGGTTTCAGAAGAAGTGGCCATATATTCAGCAAGCGAGATTCTCTTCAGCTAAAGATGAGCTCTTCATCGGAGATATGGAAATCCTTCGAAAGGAAATGGTAGCATTCTACACCAGAGCCATTGACGAAAAACAACCTAGGGAAGATTATCTTGAACTACTTCGGTTATGCCTGGTCTTTCTAGGGGGAGGCTCTGTTAGTGCTGAGATAAAATTTCGAGCTCCAGGAGCGATGCATCATGCTCGATGGATGTCAAAGGCCATCTACGCTCTGAAAATGGTACTATTTCAAGATCAGCTCACTCTGACTGTTTGAGAGAAGAAAGGTCTAGTAGAGCTTGCATTGTTTGTGGCATTAATTTACGGACGTTTTTGGCACGAAGCTCCACTGGCTGCAAATGCTCCGTTTAATGATGCTCAAATGCTGAAACAGTTCCAAAAGTATCCAAACCGCACAATCGCCAATGCAGCTTTTACTGCATTTTCTCGACACCTTTGGTTCTTCTCGGAACATCTTATAGGTCTGGCATTTTTTGATAGTCGCGTTGATCTGGATGTGAAGAGGGCCATGGTGGTTAACCTCCAACTGCCCAAGACAACTCTAGCACTGAAGAGAGTAGATTCCAAGAATACCGACTTCAACAGACTAGAGACATTCGTGACTATGAGAACCTATAGTTTATTCGAATTGTTGAGCAGTACAGGGAGAGAAGAGGCCAGAAACTTCATTTCAAAAGATCCTAAATATTGGGAGGACGATGAATCATATCAGAAGTTGGCAGAGAGAGTCCAAAGAATGAAAGTTGTTAATGACAGCGCAGAACGTGGAATTGCATTAATTGGACAGTACAACGAATCGATTACAAAAGATGAAGAACAAAAGCAGTTCCTACTTCATTTTGTTTAACGTCACCGCCAGCTATACCCTACTTCATCCAAGGCAGCCATGTTGGCGATAGATGACGAAATCGTTGATTAATAAACATACATTTTTCAACATATTCACAATATTCTTGATATTACAGTTTTTTGTTTAAAAATTACGAAAGTTACAAAACGTTGATATACTTTAATAAAAATTGATCAATTGATGATCTATATTCATTAGATACTCTACAGGCATTCTATTTACCTGATTTAAATTGTTAGTGGCATTAATTTTTAAATTCGATATTATATTTATAGTGAAAACTTAAATTTTTTGATATTTTTATCATTGTGGTCAAAAAGTCAAAATTTATAGCAACCCCTAAATATTATCCGATTTGCTTCAAATTTGGCTACAATATTGCAAATATTAATAGGAACAAAGGCAGCCTTGTGGAGAAATGAATTTCAATAATTTATAATTTTGGACCACCCTAGTGTATATATATATATATATATATATATATATATATATATATATATATATATATATATATACAGTACCCACTCAAATTATTAGACTCAAACTCAATTTTTAACTTTTTATCTTTTTGGTGTGTCTAAAACTCACTAAAAGCAATCACAACTTATTTTTTTATACATAATTTATATATTGATAAAAAAAAAAGCACATTATGAAACTTAATACTTAGTGATGGTTTCTTTTGACTCCTTTTGAAAGAGTTTTGATATGCCTTGGCATACTATTTACTCAATTTGAGGTCAATCCTTTAATATATGGATCTCGATGCCATACTTTGATTAGTCGTTTTGTGAGTTTCTTTTTACTTGTTAAATGCTAAGTCAGCACTTTGTGTATTACAAGAACCCACAGATTTACAATAGCATTCATATCTGGAGAATTGCCAGGCCAATCAAGTAGCGCAATACTCTTATTAGCAAAAAAGGTCTTTATGGATTTTGCAGTACAGCAAAGAGCAATATTTTGCATGAAAACTACTTTTTTTACCATTAGGAAACCACTCTTGTATCTGTTGAATCAAACTAGTCTGTCAGACAGTCTTGTACAATCATGTTTCATCATTCCATGTACAATGTAAAGACTTTGACAGATACCCCTGCTCAATATGCATGACTAAACCATTATAAACCCTGGGTGCTTTACAGTGTTTATAGTACATTTTGGTTTTGTTGTTCTTTTGGTCTGCAATAGACAAATGTGGCTTTCTTTTCTTTTCCAAAGGTAGATTCATTGCTGTATACAACCTGACTAAAGCAATAAATATTGATGTTTTAAATATTTCAAATATTAACAAAATGAATTGAGATAAGATATTAATGCAAAAACATCTTCTAAAAACTTGTAATATTAAAATATTAATTGCTTATGTTTCAGGAGAAAACTAATTGATAAGTTACCTTATTCTAGTCATCTTGAGAAAAAGAGGAGTGCTTCTTAGCCCATGCAAGACGTTTTTTAATCATTGTAGGCGTAAGTTACGGTTTCTTCAGTGGCTTTCTACCCTTAATCCAAACTCATAACTTCTCCTTCTTAAAGATTTAAGTGAATTTTTTTATTCCTTGCTCTTTTAAAACAACTTTTAGTTTTATTGATGGTATCTTACGATTTCGTTCAATAACTTTTTTTATTTTTCTGTGATCTCTAGCACTTGTAACTCTTGTTCTGCCACAGGACTCTATTTTCTGCGCTTCTAATTTGACCCCCATTTTAAGTTTAGAATTTGTTCTTCTGACTGTAGCCATGATAATTTTGACAACTTATTTCTTTCTCTTTCTAATATTTCTTTGGATGTAACTTGTTTTTTGCAGAAGGACAGTTACTTTTGCATATTTACTGAGGAATCATCACAAGATTTACCCAATATTAATCCTAAAATAACTCCAACATTAATTAAGTTATTATTTGACTGCAAAATTAAAAAAAACAAATTAAAAACAACTGAAATTTTATTATTTAAATTGTAATGACAATCTAAAATAATGTAAAGAAAAAATTTAAGTTGAGTTATGACTGGCAAAATTAACTGAAAGTTTTTAATTTTACATAATTTAAACTTACCATAACTTCTAAATCCATAAATCTCTCTTTTGAGTCTAATAATTTGAGTAGGTACTGTATATATATATATATATATATATATATATATATATATATATATATATATATATATATATATATATATATATATATATATATATATATATATATATATATATATATATATATATATATATATATATATTGATTAGTCTTTGTTGATGAAACATAGTGTAAAATGAAAAAAAAAAATTTTAAGTGATTTTCTACTAATTTATAATTGCTCTGTTCTATTAAGAACATTGTGCACTCTATTTTGTCGAATACATTTTTAAAATTGTTTAAATATATATATATATATATATATATATATATATATATATATATATATATATATATATATATATATATATATATATATATATAAAATTTTACAAATATCTAAACTTTCTGTTGAAAGGTGGAAGTCTAGTACTAGCATCTACTGATATCTGCTGCATCTTAAATCATGCTGCACTGAAAAAGAAACAGCAAGAAAAACTGTCTACAGGTAAATAACTAGTTAAATTTTTTAAGTCAAGACCTCCTAGTGTTTATCAATTTTTATGTTATTAAGCTTTAGATTGTCTGAAGCATTTGCAATGCTGATTTTTAATTTTTTTTTAATATAATATTAAAACATTTTTCTAGCTAATTCTGCACTAAAAACTGTTTTATTTATTTAGCGTTTATTTATTTTTTAGATTATTACCAGCATTATATTTATTTGCCAGATTTTTATTGCTGATAGCAGTCTAAAGCAAAAATTGATATCTAAGTTATTAATTTGTTTTAAGTTACTATTTAATTATTTAGGAGAAGTAAAACCCATATTTAACATAAAAACAATATTTAATTGTGGGTATAGAGTTTATAAACTACTTGTAGCATCAATAGGAGGATTACTAGGGTTACTTATAACCATAGTAATCCTCCTATTGATGTATCTCAAAAAAAAATAATCTGCAAAACAGATATGTCGGTGTGTGGAAGCATAACTGTTAAACTTAAGAAATGATAATGTCTTTATTTTGATATGTTAATATGTTTGATATTTTGATAAATATGTTTCTTTTATTTAATATTTTTTTATAGTGTTAGAATATAAATGTGCTGGCATTAACATTCCTCGGAAACAACAACATGATGGTCAACAATGTCAATTAATACTACCAATTAACTGTACTGTTTGGTCATGTAATGAAAAGGATTCTTCACATGTATGTTCTACAACAAAAATTTCTTGTTTGCTCTTTTTTTTCTACTTTTAAGTTTTCAAAATTTTGCTTTTTATTTAATTAGTTACTATTTTTTATTTTTTTAGTGTTCTACCTCAATTCCTTTCTCAAGGTTTAGATTTTATATATTAGAAGTTTGTTTTTAAGTAGCTAGTTGAGAATAATAATCAAGAATAAATTAATTTAGTAATGTCTATTATTTGAATTTTTATTAAAGAGTTCTTTGTCTTAGTTTTGTGTGTGAAGAGTTTTTTACTATAATTTAGTCAGTTTAACTTGGTGCTTAACCAAAGCAAAGAGTTTAAATCTTCAAATATAAAGGCTTGTCATGTATTGGATTCAGTATCCAAGAAAACTGCATCAAGTATGTTTTCATCTACTCAACTCAAAGAAGTAAAAATTAATTTATATTTTCTTTTTGAAATATTGTTGAGAGTAAATTGCAATACGATTTTTTTCTAAAAGTTTTAGAATGTGTTAGAAGCTTTGGGAATTTTACACAGTTTTAGTATACATTCATGAAACTCTTTATTAGGCGAATTAAAATTATTTTTTTTGCAAAAAAATGGTTGACATAAAGACCATGTGTTGCCTATCTGTTTTATGAATTTCAGTTGGACCACAAAACAACCAAAGCCTCATAAAATATTTACAATCAAATAGGTTAGGGTTTGCTGTCTGAGGCAACAGCCTCAATGTTGGTTGTGATGCTTTTATAACAGTATGAAATCAAAAGATCTCTTTTTCTATGCTTTTGTAACTTGGATAGCACTTATACTGACTACTAATAAGTTACATATGTGTTGTGTGGGAGAAGTGGATACTCTATGTAAACCACACCAGGAAGCGCAAGTAGTTAGATTCAGAAACACCTGCTAAAAATAACTTTGAAAGTTGACCTTTATAACAAAAAGGTGTTGCTTTTGGTTTAGTGAAATTTTTTTTTTAATTTTAATTCACCTCCTCAAGGCCGAGAAGGCCACTACAGACGAGGAGGCTACTTATTTGTGGCTATAACCCTCTCTCAACTCTATAACTCCGAAACACGAACCTTGACGAACAAGGCCGCTGCGCAGAGAAACAAGTTGAGCGGGGTACTACCAGGAACGTGGTGGGGATCGTGTATGTGCATTGTGTACTGGTTACTACTTTTGGCAAATGCTGCAATTATGGCAGCAATTTGATAGGTTTTAAGTAAAATTCTAAAAAAAATCCCTGATTAATTTGTTGAAGATTAAATCATGTTGATGTCATTTGCAAAGTATCTATATAAATGTTATAAAAATAATGTTTATAAAAGAAATTGCTAATTAGACCAACTCTAGATCAGCAATTAAATTTTAAAATTACTGCATACACTGAAGAGAAAACATTGAAACTTTCAGATGTCTTTTTCTCTACTGGGAGAACAGGAGCATCATTTTCTTTTTATTAGCTAAAGTTGTAACTGCTTTTCTTATTATACAAGTTACAAATTGTTCATTAGAAAGAAGTCTCTGATGTGGGAGGAGTAATCAACAAGTCCAAATATGTATATATATATATATATATATATATATATATATATATATATATATATATATATATATATATATATATATATATATATATATATATATATATATATATATATATATATATATATATATATAATCACTTGTATAATAAACAAATTTCTACTAATTTATAATTGCTCTGTTCTTTTAAGAACATTGAGCGCTCTATTTTGTAGACTATATTTAAATATATATATATATATATATATATATATATATATATATATATATATATATATATTGTATATATATATATATATATATATATATATTATATATATATATATATATTTATATATATATATACATTACTAGTGCTTAATTTACGGGTACATTTCTTTTTTTCCTCGTTAATCGCAATTTTTATTTCTCTATTTTTACTATATTTTTCATATATGTTCTTTTTTTTTTATATTTTTATTTAATGTCAATTTTTATTTATTCATTTTTAAATTTATTATTTTCGTAAAAAAATTTATTTTTTATAAATATTTTTATTATTTTTATTTAATTATTATCTATTATATTTTATATTTTTATATATATATTTACAAAAACGATTATTTACATTAATATAACTAACCCTAACCCTAACCCTAGGCCTGACCTTGCTGCCTGGCCAAACCAAACCCTCAGTCGATGTAGCAACACTCCCTTGCGAGTCAGGCTATTTGTCAGTCGATGTATGTACTTTTCGCTTTGCATAAAAACTATTTACGGGGACATTTTTTTACAAAAAAAAACGCTACTTACAAGGACAAAAGATTATCGAGTACATTAAAATGTCCCCGTTACTGCTAATGTCCTCGTAAGTATCCATTTTAATGTAAAATCTGTTCCCGAAAGTAATACTATATGGATATATATAAACATATATATATATATATATATATATATATATATATATATATATATATATATATATATATATATATATATATATACACACTTACTAAAGCGTGTTTTGATAAGCATTTGCTCACTTTTTCTGCTTACCTTAAGCCGTACTGTTTTTTTCGAAAAAGAAGAAAAAAAAACGAAGAATGATGAATAAAACGATTGCTGCCCCATCCCAAACCCTCAATCGATGTAGCAGCACTCCACTGCAAGTCAGGCTATTTGTCAGTCGATGTATGTACTGAAGTCCCCAGCAGCAGGCTATTTCAGTATGACGTCAGATTGCTTACTTTAGTACGCAATACTATTTGTATATATATATATATATATATATATATATATATATATATATATATATATATATATATATATATATATATATATATATATACAAATTGTATATATCATTTGTTTAGATTTTTATTGATAAAATCAAATTGATAATATAAAATTCCACTAATACGTCATATACTAAAACTATTTGGAATTAAAGGCGCTTAAATAAATTATAAAGTCTGTAGATTGCGGCGTATATTTTAAAGACTTAAAGGAACTGGCTAACATTTAGACAGCAAGCTTTGAGTAAAACAACAAATTTAGTTTTTTTTTGTGTACTTTATTATTTTGTTTTATTCGAAAAAATTCAGCCAACACATTTTTTTTATCATTCTCTTTAATATGAAAACAATTTGAATCAGCACTTTGGGATCCCTTTAAATCTATACTTTTAAAAGTTTCTGGTAAAAATTTAAAAAAGTTGTTCGACCAAATAATCAAGGATTTTTTATTTTTTTATTTTATCTATCAAATATTTATGTGCTTTGGGTGCTCAGTCAATTTATATCTGGCTATATATTAAGACATAACTTGATTGTATAAAATTATTTTATATTTTTAATTATTGGTATTTATTGTATTTTTTACTTTATAATACACTAAAAAAAGTAATTTTAACTTTTTTTGTTTTACATATTTTAAGTTTGTATCTCAGTGTCGTCGCCAATCTGTAGAAATGACTCATGCAAGTTTCAAACTGATGAAAGCTTTTTATTTTACAAGGAGGCGCTCTGGGTTACCTCGTGTAACACAGTTGTTGTTCAACACCATGTAAGTTGAACATTTCTGCACATATATATCTGAATATATGAATTTTTAGTTATACATATTTTAGAAAACTTTTGATATTATTATAATTATTATTATTATTATTATTATTATTATTATTATTATTATTATTATTATTATTATTATTATTATTGTTATATAGATTTATAAATGTAATATAAACTTTTAAAATTGTTTATTTAAAATTTTTTTTTTTAGTCTGTCTCTTTCAGCTGCTCATTCAAAGTTAATGCTTCATCCAAAGGTCTGTTTCAATATTTTACATACTATATAGTATCCTAGTATTATTCATAATAAAAAATCTTTATTTTTGTATATTTATAATAAATGATTTAGATTCAGTTGCATCAAAACTTTAGGAATTTTTTAAATTAGAGTTAAGTTTAAAATTTTATTAGAAAACTATTTTTTATGTATTAAAATAAAATATACATTGATATTTTTGTTGGTACAAAAGTTAATATAAAATTATACATAGATGAGTTTTTTCTGGGACATCTTGGAATTCCGGAAATTCACTTGAAAATTCCTTTACTTTTCCAGAAATTTCCAGATGTTTTTTATTATTAATTTGAAAAAAAAAATTATCTATTTTTACATAAAATTTTAAATACAACATCTTTTGCATTTAAACTAATATGTTTTCTATAATTAAAATTTTCACTAGATCAATTTTCGTAACAATTTTTTTCTTTTTTTTTTGCTTTTTAATTCATTCAAATTAACTTTTTCTAATATTAGAAATTCCATTTTGTAAAAAATTAAATCATTTAAATTCCATTAAAAGTTTACAAAAGTTTTTGTTGTCTGTTAATACAATCAATTTTTAATAAAATAATTTTCCAAGATTTTCAAAGAAAAAAATTTATGGGATTTTCATAAAGTCAAATACTCATCTATGTGTATAGGATGGGCATGATGTAACAGTTGTAGCTTATTTTATAGAATAGGTACGATGTAACAGTTGTAATATTTCAAACACTTCTTATTAAAAATAACTTTAATGAATATTATAGGGTGATTTTGAAATATAAATGTCATTAATTAATTTTTAATGTTATATTTTAATTTTTTTTAGATGATGTCTATATATTTCTTAATGATATAATTTTTAGTATAGTATACTAATAGAAATCATATTTATAGCATACTATATATTTATATATACTATATATTTATAGTATACTATATAGCATACTATATATTTATAGTATACTAATAGAAATCATATTTATAGATATCATGCCAAGAAGATATTGTTGGGAGTTATGATTGTTACATTTTATGTAACCACAAAACATTACCCTAATGTTTAAATAAATTTAAGTGGTGGGAAATTTAAACTTTGCTTTAAATTAATTTATTGCTGCTTTATTCAAATTATTTGATGCTGTTTTGACCTTTGAATTTTCTATTTCAACATCAAAAAGAATTTTAAGGGTTACATAATAAAAAACAAGGAGGTAATATTTACAATAAGAAAACAAAGGGTTAAAGAGCTTAGCAAATGCTAACTTTGTAATTGACTTTAAAGTTTTCATTAGAGGTCAGTAGTAAATGATAATCCAAGAATTTGCAAAGAAGAGTGCTTTGTGAGCTGCCATTCATTAATATAGGAATGTCAACAATATTGCAATATTTTGCTGTAATTAATTGAGTTTTGTTGATAATATTTAACTGAGTTTTGTGAGAGATAATTAACTTAGTTAAAATTCACAAGCCACTGTAAGCCCCAAGCAGTTACAGAAGAGAGATCTGACTCAAGATTAGCTGCTTGTTTTAAGCAATTGAAATCAGGAAACTTTTTGTCAAGACAGGATTATAAAGTTGAGGAATCAGCAAATAAAGCCACTTTATATGAATATGAAGCATGCTTATATATATATATACATATATATATATATATATATATATATATATATATATATATATATATATATATATATATATATATATATATATATATATATATATATATATATATATATATATATATATATATATATATATATATAAATTTATAGGTGTATATATATACCTATAAATATATAGTAAACACGGCATCAAAGGAGACATCTTGTCATCACACATAAATTCTTATGTTTGAAGACAACATTATCAATTTTATTGCACTTACTCTGAATACCATAAATTTGATGCAGTCATATTTTCGATCTATGAAAGCTCTATGAAAACTTTAACAAAGAAAGTGGAATTATGCAAATTTCTCTGACTCCCTTATTTTATATAAGGCAACATATTTTGAATAATATTTTGAATATTATAATATTCCTCTAAATTTTTCAAATTTTAGGGGAATATTTAAAATATTTCATCAAATTTATTACATAACTTTAATAAAATTAAGGTTATGTACACATTGTAAAACTTTACTGTGAAAATCACGGTACTATACTGTTACCCATAAGTGCTGGTATTGTACCGTGATTATTTTATGGTAGAACATCATGAATAAATTACGGTAAAACGCCGTTATTTTATGGTAGAATATTGTGATTTTTCTGTGATGAAACAATGTGAATTAAGGCATAGTACCGTGATTAATTTACAGAAATTCCTCCTTCATTTATTGTACAACATATTGTACAATATAAATTGGTACAAATTATATTTTTACTATTTTCTAAAAATCTTTCACCCATGTCATTTTGTCTTTTTTTTTATTTATTTCAATTGTATTTCAATTACGTTTTTTTCAATTATAAATATCTATCAACATATATGCTTGTTTAAATGCTTATGGCGACAAAAACACATAATAATTTTAAAAATCTTTTCAATTTACATTATTACATAAATAGAAATAGTTTCTCAGATAAATTAAATGAATATAAATAGGTTCCAAAAAAACGCAAACGTAAGTTATATGACATTAATATGACGTTATATAAATATTTATATTCGAGTTTAAGAACGAATCAAATTCAAAAAAAAAGAAAAAGATGTTATTGTAAAACTTTTGAAAATTTACAAAAAATATAAATAACTACAAAATAAATTGTTTTTTCAAAGTTATATTAAGAAGTTTAAATGGTAAATTCAAATATTATTAAATCTTGCAAATTTCTACAGTATTGACAGCAAAATTTTGCTTATTTATGAAGTCTTCTTCATTTACCTTGATTTGCTCCCTTTTTCAGGATTGATGCCGAAAAATGCACTAGAACGGTCAATAATATATGTATAAGCAAATGAGGTTTGAAAACATTTTCATCAATAAACAAAAAATACCATTAAAATCAAATACAATATAAACTTTAAAAAAATTAAATAAATTTAATTCAACATAACATTACCATAATATACAGTTGACAAAATTCTAATATTGATGAAGCTTCTTTTGGATATGGTATATTAAAAATATAAAAACTCGAAAACAAAAAACAAAATGACTTGATAAAATTGGTCATTCTATCAACCACAATAATGCTATCAATTACCAGCATGAATTGATTTGCTGTAAATAGCAAATTTCCTTAAAAAAGAATGCAAGTTGACCTAACAAAAATCCACCTAAGTATATATAAAGAAAAATGATTTAATTCATACTTTATGTTACAGTTTTAAGTTTTTGATTGAAAAATTTAAAAAATATAAGAACTTGTAATTCAACATACCATAAACTTTTCATCATCTATTGTTTTTATAAAGAGTTTACCAGCATTCACTCCACACATCAAAACATCAAAGTGATGTAGCAAACCATCAACCTAAATATAAAAAATCAATTTAAATATGTAGATATACTAAAACTAAATAAAATAAACTTCTACAAAAATCAAATTTAATACTATAAAAATGAAATATTTATTTACTTATCATTATATAGATTAATATATACTGGTTAATAATATAAGTTATTTTATTTTTAAATAAAAAGAACTTAATTTACGGTAAATAAATTGGAGAATTTTATCAACAAATCATTTGACAACATCTTTTTATTTATTTTAGTTTGTTGTAAATAGTAATGGAGTTCTTTAGGGCTGTTTGAAACACTGAGAACTGGTTCTCGGTTTAAGTAATCATAACTATCAGTTTTTTTTTATGACATCAACTAATAATTGGGATCCCTCTTGGGATTCCAAATTTAAAACACCTCGTAACAGTGGCACACGGTTTGGCCGCCGCAGATAGTCATAATGGTTAATTAATTGTAACGTTATACTGTCATGTCCCCTACCAATTACTGTGGGACCATATTTATCTATATACAATTTAGGATATTTGCCAACCATAGAAGATGCAATTATATCTAAATGTTTTTTAATGGCGTAAGCAAACAGCAAGAATAATGCTTATAGTAGCACAATGATGTGCTATTGGAGGTTTTTCTCTAGGTGCAAATATATCTTTTACCTCTTTAGAAGTTTTTCATTTTTAACACCTATTTTCAATAAATTTTTGGCAACCTGGTTCAAAACACATTTATCAATATTTGGCAGTGTTTTTAAAGTATTACTTTTAATAGCAAACATTATCTTAAAAAAAGAAATATATATGAATATCATGTGTATATAACAGATAGATATAGATAATATCTATATCTAGGTGTGATATAAATATTATCTATATCACTAGCTGTGATATAGATAATACTTATATCACACCTAGCTCAAGAACCTAGCTAGGTTCTTAAGCTATATGATATAGTATATATACTATATCATATAGCTGAATTTAGTTATGATAGCTTCAGGCTATATTTAAGATATAGCTGTAGTATCCGAGTAAAGAAGCAGACACTAACTTATATTTCTCATCGAAACCCAGTAACTCAGGCAGGACCGCTAGCCGAAGGTCGCGAGTCCAAATAGGGAGAGCTACCATTTACGTGAACTTGATGAGTATGGCACCATGCGACTTGACTTAGAAACTCATTTTAATTTGATGCACTTTACTTTTCATCCTGACTACCTATTGTATGAGAATAGCCAAGTATGTTGCGCAAGCAACATCTACCATGCCTCTTTGGGTGCAGGCAAGGGGACAAGCTAGACAGATACTAATTTATTGGCTCAGATTGTGGGTGTCCTCGACGCAAAGGGATTGTTCTTCCGTCCGTCCCTTGCCCACAATTTGCTTGTTAATATTCGCTAGAGGCCGCCTGCCTCGATTGCCCGGTTGCAACCACGTGGAGGTTACTAACAAGCTTGCTTCCACCCATACCACCGAAAGAGTCTTTCCAGGAGCACTCAATTGCACCTGAGGATCATCATTTCGGATTCAGCAGTTTCAGCTTTGCAACCAAAAAAAATTTTACTCTCGCGGCAGATTATTATTGGCTCAAGAGCGCGTTGCTAAGTCAAAAGTGTACAGACTTCCACTTCTAAAGTGTACAATGCAAAAGTGCAAAATAGGCTTGCACTGTGAGAACTGCCCTTGCAAAAAGTGCCAACTTTTGGTTTTTTCTTTCATTTTGGCTCAAGGGCTTGCTGTTAAGTCAAAAGTGTACAGACTTTCACTTTTAAAACTACACAACATAAATGTGCAAAATAGAGGTGCACTATGAGAATTGCCCTTGCAAAAAGGGCAATTCTCATAGTGCATCAGGAACATATATATTTTATATATTCAATCTTATATCCTTATATTATAAATAAAGTGCAACAAGAAATGTCATTGAAAAAAATATTATTTTATTAATTGCAGGAGCAATTATTAAAACATATACAAATATTTCAAATAGAATTTAAGAACTAAACATTTAAAAAAAAACATGGCAACCCATACTTACATAAAATCTCTCCAAAATTTCATGGTAGTATACCGTGAAGTAGTTAAACAATGCTTGAAATAAGTGTTCACGGCCAAGGTACTGTAATATAAACGATATTGTACCGTAAAACGCATTAACGGTGCAATACTGTGAAAATCACGGTATAGTACCATGAATTTCATGGTAAAGTTTTACTGTGTATAGCCAAGTATAATATTGAATATATGATAATAATATATTCAATATTATTAATAATATATTTCTCTGTTAAAGCTCAACTTCAAGTTAACCCTATGGCAGGCTGAAAACATGTCATACATTAATTAACTTATTAACTAAAAACAGTTTACAAAACATAGTATGTCTATTTTTGCTTTGAACTCATTTACATATTGCAACTTAGCAACAGAATTTACTCCATAATTTAATTTTTAATACCAGATTTGTAAAAATGACTAATTTCAAAAAAGACATCAGTAATAGGGTAATGATCTGGTCTTTTTAATTTACTTTATAAATTTACTTTATAATTTTTTAGTATTTTATGGAATTTAAAATTTTATTAGATCCACTCTTTTTCTTTTTTCTATTAAAGTTGTTAAATTTAACAATATTAAGTGTGTTTATATGATAGATAATATATTTCTAGTATCAATTTTGATGGTCGTCTTTGTATGTTTGAAGGATATTTAAATCCTTCTCCATATAAGCTAACTGTAATTGAATTTAATTGTAAAAAACAACAAAGAAGTGTATTATAAAAACAACAAAGAAGTGTATTATAAAAAAACAACAAAGAAGTGTAATATAAAAAAACAACAAAGAAGTGTATTATAAAAAAACAACAAAGAAGTGAATTATAAAAAAACAACAAAGAAGTGTATTAAAAAAAAACAACAAAGAAGTGTATTATAAAAAAACAACAAAGAAGTGTATTATAAAAAAACAACAAAGAAGTGTATTATAAAAAAACAACAAAGAAGTGTATTAAAAAAAAACAACAAAGAAGTGTATTATAAAAAAACAACAAAGAAGTGTTTTATAAAAAAACAACAAAGAAGTGTATTATAAAAAAACAACAAAGAAGTGTATTATAAAAAAACAACAAAGAAGTGTATTATAAAAAAACAACAAAGAAGTGTAATATAAAAAAACAACAAAGAAGTGTATTATAAAAAAACAACAAAGAAGTGTATTATAAAAAAACAACAAAGAAGTGAATTATAAAAAAACAACAAAGAAGTGTATTAAAAAAAAACAACAAAGAAGTGTATTATAAAAAAACAACAAAGAAGTGTATTATAAAAAAACAACAAAGAAGTGAATTATAAAAAAACAACAAAGAAGTGTATTAAAAAAAAACAACAAAGAAGTGTATTATAAAAAAACAACAAAGAAGTGTAAAAAGTAAAGTTTTGAAAATAATAGAATATAAAATAATAATAGAATAATAAAATAATAATAGAATAATAGTTTTGACAAGATAACAATATAATAGTAATAGAATAATAGTTTTGATAAGTTCAAAAATTTGTAGCTTTTTACATTTTTTCTGCAAAATTGCAATTTTGATGATATTGTAAACAAATATTTTGTAGAAATTATTAAAAAACTTTATTTGTAAGTGATTAATCTTTTTTTTTTTTTTTGTTATTCACCTCCCCAAGGCCCGTGGGGGCCACTACAGTTGAGAAGGCTACTCATACTTTTTTTTTTTTTTTTTTTTTGTAAATCGTGATACAACCCTCTCTCAACTCTTTAACTCCGAAACACGAACCTTGACAAGCAAGACCGCTGCGCTGAGAAATTAAGTTGAGCGCGGTACTTCCAGGGATGTTTTGGGAGTCAAACTCCAAACTGCTCACTTACAAAGCGAGCGATCTTACCACTACACCACTACCGCCTTCTAAGTAATGTGCTTCATTTCTAGTGAAAAATTTGATCTTGAGATCAGTTTAAAATTGAAAATTAATTAATAAGACAGCACGGTTTTATGTAGTAAGTAAATCTACTATATAGGATAAACTATGAAGAGACATATTGATAAACTATGGATAAACTATGAAAAGATATATTGATAAACTATGATGATCTATAAACTATGATATATTATACTGTATAACTAATAGTAGAGTATTATATACAAAACATAATAACTAGAACATGTTTTAAAAATGTCTACATTATGTATGAAGCTTTCAGAAACTGGGAGATTTATTATTCATTTATATTAAGTCATCAATATTCTATTACTTGAGTATTTTAACACCACTCTTCTCATAAGCTCTCCATGATTTAATCTGGCCTCAACTTGAGAATCTAGGGTTTTTAATTGTTTTGATGAACAGAACATTGCTCGACAAATATTCTTAATGACATTCTAGTTTTTGTTTAAGAAGAAGATGCAATGATATTCAATAATATGATTTTTTCATTCCCTTAAAAGGTTGTGGTTGAAGGTAATCTTTCACTTTCAGTTTCCAAATCAAAGTAAAAAGTAAAAAATAGAGTAATTTTCATCATATTGCTGAAGTTTTTTTGTATAGTGTTTGTCTTTAAAATGTATCATATCAATTTATGTAAGCTGTGTAAGTGAACTGTATATGTAAATGTATCCATATATCAGTGAGTATGAAAGTAATAATCAGTAATTATGAATATGTTTCATGTGGACATTGTCATTACCACTGTAAGAGTAACTTTGACCCCAGGGTTTTTAAGAGCGATTCTGGGCCCAGTGTAACACTTTCTAAAACTAAATCTCTAGAAACTTTGATCTCTCAAGATAATAGTGTTGTTGGAGACTGCACTTTGATAAGAGCAATTAGAAATTATTTGCATTTTTTTAATTAGTATTAAATTATCATACCTAAAAATTTTAAATTATCAATTATAAGCTCAGGAACAAACATAATTATGGAGCTTTTCAAGTTGCGTAGTTATGTTCGCAATAAGTTTATCAATTTTTATAAATTATGGATTTAATGAATGTTGATTTTTGTTTTACCAACTTGAAAAAAATGAATAGTGAGTTAAGCTGCTTTTTTTTTTTTTTTTTTTTTTATTTTTGCATGTCATTCTGTTTAATTGTTATTTTTTAGTACATATTAAAATTTATTTCCTAATTTTTAGTAAAAAAAAGTTATTGGTTTAGGTAGAGATTGATGATGCTGTTGCAGCCATTTATATTGTTGAACAACTTGATACCTTGATGCATGGTTAAATGTTTTTTATCAATTATTGATTTTTATTAAAATATTTCTTTTCTTTTCTTTCTTTTTTTAGAAATTAAATTTTAAAATTTTTTAAGGTGAATCATTATCTGGAATTAGACCAGTTATTCATTTTCCAAAAGAAGAAATGTTTAAACGAATTGGTCCAGAGGTAATTTATTTCCACTTTTTTGGTATCAGAATTGTCTGTTAGTTGTGCTAAAAATGTTTTTTCTTTTTTTTTTTTTATTTAATAGTCATTTGTAAATACATTTGTAATGAATAGAATAAAAGAATTGAAAATTATTTTCATCATATAACATTTTTTTCATTAAAAAAAAATTATTTTTGTCAATGAAAAAAATGTTATATACATTTAACTTATTAATTAATTTACACTGTTTCAATATATTAATAAATCTATTTACACTGTATCAATATATTAGGCAATAATAATTCAAATTAAGTTATTAAACAAATAATAAATTAGTATATGACAAATTTATAAAGTACTATATTATTGTATTTTCTCGTAGATTTTATTCAATTTTAGGTGCATGCTACCCATCAATTAAGTGGTAGCTTTTACTTAATGTAGATTAAGTTGCAACTGGGAATAAATTTGTCATCATTCATGTAGGCATTTATATATATATATATATATATATATATATATATATATATATATATATATATATATATATATATATATATATATATATATATATATATATATATATATATATATACATATATATATATATATATATATATATATATATATATATATATATATATATATATATATATATATATATATATATATATATATATATATATATATATATATATATAAATAGATTTGGCCAATGTTAGCCAATCTTTTTGCAATTAATAGATAAGCATTTCCCACCTTCAAACCCATTGCATAAACTTTTCAATTGAAACACCACATAAGTTAGCTACAGCTGCTCAAACAACATTTCAAAAATCATAAAAAGTCATAACAAAAAAATAAATTCAAAACCCGACTTAAAGTTTCCCTAACAATTGCAAAAAAAAAAAAAAAAAGAATAAATATTGTTGAGCAACAAACATAATTTACAAGTATATAACATCTTCCCCAAACACACCCAGCAAAGCATACATTGGTTTATCAGAGGGCGTGTGGAAAAGAGATATGTAAACTACAAGCATTCATTTGCAAATAAAAATTTTCAAATGCAACCACTCTCTCAAAATATATATGGGAAACTAGAAAAAAACTCAAGGAAACGTCAGAATTAATTTGGTCCATCCTAAAAAAAGCCCCTGTTTACAACAATACAAAAAAAAATGTTTAATTTGTTTATATGAAAAACTAATCATTTTACTTTATAGAAATGCTGAAGAGCTAATTAATAAAAAAGCAGAGTTAACTTCCGAATGTTGTCACGAAAATAAACATATATATATATATATATATATATATATATATATATATATATATATATATATATATATATATATATATATATATATATATATATATATATATATATATATATATATATATATATATATATATATATATATATATATATATATATATATATATATATATATATATATATATATATATATATATATATATATATATATATATATATATATATATATATATACAGTATCGGACAAAACAAGTGCAACCAAATAATGCTAATTTAGTTTATTTTTATAAAAGTGCTGCGTTTTTTAAGTTCTTTAAGTTTTATTCATCACAAATTATTTGTACACGAAAATTAATAAATTAATCAAAAGTATTAAAAAAAGTTGATTTCCTTCTGGACAAAACAAGTGCAACTCCACAAAATGTTGGCCAAGCTGTATTTCGCTATCAATATTTCGTGGCGAATCCTTTGTTATTGATCATAGCCTTGCATCTTCAAGGCATAGATTCGATCAGGCGATCAATGAAACTTTGTGGAATCCCAGCCCAGGCTTTTTGGATTTGTTCAAACAGTTGATCCTTATTACAAACACCTTCACCATTAATTCTGCGGTTGACGATCACCCACAGGTTCTCAATAGGGTTGAGATCCGAAGATTGAGGCACCCAAGTTCATCATTCATGTCTTTTATATAGTGAAATGAACCTGTGTGAACCTGTTCTGGAAGATTCTAGATGCTTCTTTTCGATGCTTCTGGAAGCTTCTGAATGTTTCTGGATACTTCTGAATGCTTTCAGATAGAGTTGCAAAAAAAACCGTTTTTTTTTTATTGTGTTTTTTTTGCAAAAAAAACATGTTTTTTTTGTGTTTTTTGTGTTTTTTATTGTTTTTTTTGTTTTTTAGATTAAAAAAAAAATTATTTACTTTTATTTAATTTATATTTTTATTATAAATGTAATATAATATATATGAATAACATGATATATGGTAAATATATAGTACATCATTTAAAAGATTTATTTTTAATTAATAACAGATTCTGTATTCTGGCTTTCTTGTTCATTAAGGTCTTCTATTGTAAAGTCAAATCCGTATTGCATCCACAACTATTCACAACTCAGAAAAATAAAATTGCATCCGTATCCGGATGCAATTTTATTTTTTTGAGTTGTGAATGGAACTCTTGTTGAAGAATACAATCGTTTTAAGGGAGGCTTATCTGATTTGGTTTTATTTGCCTCACAGTCTCCAAACTTAAGGCATATCGTTCAAATATTTGTTTTTTATTTGATCGCCACATTTCATACATTTTGCAATGTGCTTAGTCATTCGAGTGCCATTTTTTGATAGCTTTAAGCTGCAAAATTTGCATATAACTTGTTGAATTTTAGAACCTCCAGATTCTAAAGGTGCCTCATTGAACAATGTAGCTACAAAACATTTCTTTCTGCCTGGCATATTTTTTTTTAGATTTCTTTTTTTTTTTTAATTAAAAATAATTAATAGATTACAAATTGTTTAATATAAATGTTTTTTCATTAGACAAAGTTAATCATTGTGTTATTTTTATTTACTGGAATATTGTTTGAATAAATAAAATTTTAGCTATCTAATTGCAATTTAAAATAAAATAAAGAAATTAAATATTAAAAATTTAAAAAAGTAATATACAAAAGTAAATAAAACATTAAAGTAAATTTTATTTAACAGTTGGTTCAATTTTGTATTTTGCAATGCAGTGTTATTTCATTCATTTTTATGAATGAAATAACACTGCTAAAATAACATTTTTATTTCCTTCATTCAGTAGTATTATACTTACAATCAACTAGTAGCTAATAGTATAGTTTTTTTGAGATTTATTTAAAAAATTACTTTTTTAAATATTTTATACTGTTTTTTTTTAATATTGGTGATTAGTTTGTAACAGCTATTATATAAGTTAATATGCATTTTATTAAATAGAAAACATTTGTATTTTGTAGGGTTAAGGGCACTGGAACTGTTTCAAGTATTATTATTATCTAAAATTTAATGAAAACTAAAAAAAAGCAAAAAAAACTATAAAAAACATGTTTTTAGAACCAGTCTGTTTTTTTTGCAAAAAAAACGTGTTTTTTTTTAAAAAAAAACACCGTTTTTTTTGGGGTTGCAACTCTACTTCCAGATGCTTCTTCTGGAAACTTCTGGAAGCTTCTGCATGCTTCTGGATACTTGACATTGATTTTCTTAAATCTTAAGTCTGTCATGTCATGGAATGCTATGACTCCCGACTCCTGAACTGTTTGCTATGGTAGTATAGTTCGTATAGAACACTTTTTAGCATTGTTCGATGTTGGTTGCAAATGTTTTTTCAAATACAATATATATATATATATATATATATATATATATATATATATATATATATATATATATATATATATATATATATATATATATATATATATATATATATATATATATATATATATATATATATAGATAGATATATATATATATATATATATATATATATATATATATATATATATATATATATATATATATATATATATATATATATATATATATATATAGATATAGATAGATATAGATAGATATAGATAGATATAGATATATATAGATGGGTAGATAGATAGATAAATAGATGGATAGATAGATAGATGGATGGATAGATAGATAGATAGATAGGTATGGATATATATTTTTTATATTATATTGAATACATCATAGGCCACTTTTATATATTCAAAATATTCAACTAAATACATCATAGGCCACTTTTATATATTCAAAACATTACATTCAATACATCATAGACCACTTTTATATATTCAATAAATTATGTTCAATTCATCATAGACAACTTGTGAAAATATATGAATACTTTCTATTGTCTTCTGTTTCTAATTTACAGAGCTAAATTAATAATATGCATGGAACATTTAATATAAAAAGTATGCCATCACAAAGTAAAGCTTGTTGTTTATTACAGCAATTATTGTTATGATTTGGTTGAAACCACGCTTTGAACAAGTTAACAATCTTGAGCATAAAGACAAATAGCTTGATCGTTTTTTAAAACTTTTTAAGAGTCATGCTAATATTCTAATTAACCGTATTTCTTCAAAATTCTTTATTCATACACGCGCTAAATTGCTTTTCACAAAATTTACAGGTTGGGTTATCTCTAACCGGTAGAACAATTTTTTATTTAAGCTGCTTAAATAATAAGTTGTTCTACTGGTTAGAGATAATATCGTTAAAGTTAGCTATAATCCCGTGGGCAGGCATCGTCCAGAGGACGTCTGTCGAACGTCTCGCGGACGTCCCCAGAACATGCCCACTGGGAACTGTATTTTTGTTAGAGTTTTTATGTATATGAACGCTTTTTTATTCGATCAGTTTACACTTTAAGTTTTTCGTGAATTTTTTTTTTTTTTCAGGATCCAGTTAATGTAAATTAATTTATCTTTAGAACGATGATTTGATGTACCAGTTTAAAAGTTATATTGTTCATCAATGCTCAATTCATTATCCAGAATTAAAAAAAGAGGTTTTAACGCAAACGTAGATACGATATATGTAATGACGTAAACTCGAGATGCTTGACAACGGCTACTCATCGAATAGTTTCTGTTTTTTAGACTTTACTTTTTTCAATTTAAAATTAAAGTGTTATTTATTTTAAGTCTTAATTGCGTTAAAATAATATTTAGTATTTGTTTATCTTCTTTTTTGGAAAAAGATATTTTGATTTGGTGGCGCAAATCGGTTTCATAAAACTTTTGAAATTTTATCTATTTATTTCACTAATGTTATTTCACAATAACAAAATGAATATTTAATTTTTCACATTTTAAATAAATAGAAAGCAGTAGGTTTACCACTGTTCTGTGAAAGTAGTATTTTTTGCACTTTGTCCAGAGTAAAAGTTTTTTTATCTGAAATTTCTTCAGGGTTGACAAAAAAAAAATTCTTTTCCAACACTAAATGCGTAGTCAAGAAGAACGTAGGTTTTTTTTATTGTTTCTTAATTTGTTTACAGCAACATTGTATATATAAAGTTTTGAGAGTATTATAACATGTTTCTAATATAGCATATATAATCTTCTAACATAAACTTTTACTATAATACACGTTTTTTAAATCTATATAATCACGATCATAAAAAATATTTACATTTTTTAAGGGTTTTGAGTTAATGGTTGTAAAATCTTCCGTTATATAACGATTTACCTTAAACCAATCAGAACGTAATTTTTTCCGTTTGTTTCATTGTTCATAGAACGTAATTTTTTTCATTTGTTTCATTGTGATTTAAAAGAAAAAATAGCGATTTTTTTTTTTTTTTTTTTAGTTTTCTCAAAACATAAAAAAATGATTTTTATTTTATTTTTAAAAAAAAATGTTTTGAGTAAGTATACTCCTTTTTTTTGTTAAGAAATTAGTGGTTGAAGCAACCACTTCTCGGCAAAAAGTTGCTCCAGATCAACTGTTTGAAGGCATATTTGTTCTCAGTTTACTATAGAGACAAAAAAAAAAAAAGATTTTCAAATACTAAGTAATAACTTTCCGAGTTTAAATTTTCAAATTGTTCAATTACAAAGGTGTCGTCAATAAATTACGTCGCGTAATTTTGTAATTTTGCTAAATTTCTTTCTGTAATATACCGTAATGCTTTTACCGTCTTCCTTAAAATTTCGCAACAAATTAAATCTTCCTTTCTTTTTATGTTTAACTAATAAAAACACAAAAACCAACTAAAAACGATGTTTTTAAATGAATATGAATGTCACTGCATCCCTAATTTCAATAAGATGAGGAACGCACTTTAGTGTTTTGCATTACAAACAGACCCTACATGTTTATAATCTAAAAAATTTTGTTAAACTATTTTCTTAGTTAATAACGTGCTCCAAAAGGATATAACTTAATTAATTTCCTTCCTAAAACATTTATCTTATCTGACCATAACCGGCATCGAACCTTGAACTTTTCGGTTCTGAACCAAAACTCTAAATACTGCACTCAGTTTTGCTTTATACAAGTTAGGTAGACAAAAGTCAGTTCAAGAAATTGGTTAATAGTATTTACTATTAATCAGCCGATAAGTGAGATAATGAGTTACAACGTCACAATGAGTCATAAGCATAAAGTGACGTTAAAATGTTTATTCATTTTAAAAAAAATCTTAGCTACAAATTTAGAGTACTTGTAACAACATTTAACAAAATTTTAAGAAAGGAATTATTTTGTTGCAATTGTTGCTTTACTTTAGAGGTCAAATAACTTTTTATATTAATAGATATAGTTAGTAATCTAAATTATAATTAATTTTATTTAATAATTATAATTAGTAGTGTAAATTATAAATAATTTTTTATTATAATTGAATTTAAATTATAATTAATTTTAATTAATATACAATTATAAATGATAAATTTATTCAAAAGAGAAGCAATCAGGGTCGGACTGGCATTTAGGGGCCCGGGGGAGACATTAATGCAGGTCCGCTTTATATATAAAAATTTCCCTATATTATATGTGAGGAACCTTTTTTTTTTAGGGACCTTTTTTCATTTGCGCTACTTAGATATCTACGTTAAACCCTTAATTACACAGCAGGAGCCCGAACCTTTAGATAATACAGGGGGCCGGGGAGAACACCCCCAACCTTCCTTGCCAGTCCCACCCTGGAAGCAATATGTGTTAGAATATGGTTGCAAAAAACTACCTTAATGTTAGAACTCTTATTTTGTTATAAATTCTTCACATTTACTGTTATTTGTATCCACATGTATCCAAGCTAATTTTTTAATTAAGTAACATCCAAAGTTTTTAACTGAACAACGGTCTAAATCGTTACATCAATCCACAATTTTTTGTAATTCAATTTTTTTTTTAAATCATGTGCAAATTGTGACCTCAAGTTTCAACTTTAGGTGGTCCAATTTTAGGTTTTCAACGTTAAAAGATTACTCCATGAAGCTAAAAATTTATCGATGAATATAAATTTAGTTGAAAAAACTAAAGAAAATATTTTATTAACTTGTTATTCTCACGTTTGGGAAATGGCGAGAAAATTTTAGGGCTATTTTTTACCAACCTCAAATCATCGCAACTTTTTGAAAGCATTATTTTTAGCATAAGTATATACATCATAATGTTTGGTGTTTGCTTTATGTCTGGAAATTACCTTTCTCAAACACCAAAAAGTGCTGTATCCACATCTGAAATGATGGGAACACAGCGCGCAAGTTTTTTATAAAGTCAGAGTGAAATTACGGTCATCAATCTCTTTAAGAATTTCAGTTTATTATTAAAAACACTATTCTCACGCAATGATAAAATTTATTATGAGTTTCAAAAACTTTGTCTTGAAACCGAACCTTAAAATCTATATCAGTGATACTATATGCCGGTAAGTGTGCACAAAATACTTTATAAAAAGTTATAAAACATGCGTTTATATAATCATGCAACAATGGGACGAGCCTTAAGAAGCCCGCAATAAAGACTTTCGTTGATTCCGTGAGAATCATATTATAAAAAACTCATGTACACACAAACTTGCTCAACATGCTTTTGGCAGGGTTGGCACCCAAAAACCCAAACCCAAAAACCCAAGAGCAAAAACCCACCAAAAACCTAACTTAATGGGTTTTTGTATTTATAATATTTTTATTCATAAATTAATTTTCATTCACACTCAAGATTTGATGCTGCTCAAAAGTTGTTATAAAAACAAGAAGTTTAGTGAATCATAAATGAGATTTTATTTTATTTGGAGTAGAAATATTTAAACTTAAAGGTTTAAAACAAAGTTAAAACAACTTAGTCATCAGCAATTGTTCCTCTTGACCTTAATGTATGTAAATTCGTACAAGCATTTTTGCTTTTCCTCTTCCTAAAAGATTCCTAATTTTCCTAAATATTCTGATTCCTAAATCAGGCTTCATTAACCATTCCTCAGCTTCTTCTTTTTGACTTCTATCCAAGGTTCTTTCTAAATAAAAAGGTACAGTTATAAGAGTAGTAAACTTAAAAGAAAATTTTTTATCAGTATTTATTTTAATTTGATCAGATGCAAGTTTTTAATTTTTTTACAATTTTATGGTTACCTTTACATTTTGAATCTGTTAAATTGGCTTGAATATGATATGGAACAATTGTTTTTTTAAACCACTGTAAAATATCATCTTTGTGTCGTCTTGGATACTATGAGTAATTATAAAATCATTACTAAATGTACTCCAATCATCTTAAATTAGGATAACAGCACAATCATTATCAAGATCACATTTCATTATATTGACTATTTCTTTAATAAGAGTTCTGAAGATATCTGTTTTCTATTCTATAGGTAGTCAAGTCAAACTTTTCTACTATGTTGAATGGTATATTTGTTGAAAAAAGAAACCTTTTAACCTGTAAATCCAGTTCATTCTTCTGATTACTTACTGTTGAAGTAACAAATTTAGAAACGGATGTTTGCCGTTGCATCGTCAATGCAGTTAAATGAACAATTGACGAAGATTTACTAATAAAGCTTAAGTGATCTTGATCATTATCTTCTGACTGGTTAGACTTGTTTGATGCTGCAGTTGTAGATGGTCTTGACTCTAAAACTGATGTATTGCTAAATACTTCTAGGGAATTCTTTACGTTTCCTTTTTTCTTACTTCTGAATTTGTCAAAATGGATCTTAACTCTCACTACTTTTTTAATTATGCTATCTTTGCAATAATTACATATTACTCATATTTGGTTGATGACTTAATATGGTCACTTCATTCTACCCACTAGCCTAATTTCTTCCCTCTAATTGATACTTTGACATGTTAATGTCAAATAAAGGCGTATAATTCAATTCTATTTTAAATTTGACTATAAAAAAACTCAGTTTCAAAATAAACTTATATTAGAAAAAAATGCAATCTGATTATAAATTAAGCTTTTGTATTAGAAAATATAACTTTAAAAAATGAAAAATTGCTTTTAAATAACTATAAATTTATCAAACTTTGTTACTACAGATTTATACACAACTTAAGTAAAAACCCAAAAACCCAATAACCTACCCAAAAACCCACCCACAAACCCAGTTGGGTTGGGTTTTTGCCAACCGTTGTGTTTGGTAACTTCAGATCCTGTCGTCAACTCTCACAAAGTCAAGTAAGAAAACCAGAAAATTACAATAAGAAGTTTTGAACTTGATTAACCGACTTGTAGTACCACAACATCCGGCTGTCAATAAAATTATGTGATGATCAAATGCATGGGGTCAAATACAAATATAAACTCAAATACGTTAATTCTATATTTCCAAATACAATTTCAAATACAAATGTATATTAATCAGTCATTTTCGAATATAAATACAAATACAAATTTGTACTTTTTTAGTTACTTAAGACAAGAACGAGAAAATAGTTTACTAAATAAATGAATGAAAAAAAAATATTCCTTAAAAACAAGCGTTAATTTTATTTTAGTGTAAAAAAATAGAAAAAAAAAAACAAATAACCTCATGGTATTTCCCAAAAAAAAACAGGTTAACCTTGTTTATAAAATTGCAAATACATTTTAATCGAATACAAATATTTAAGAAATTGTTTAATCAAATACAATGCGAATCCAAATTCGTTAAATTAGCCTATTTTTATCAAATACAAATTAAAATACAAATACGTATTTGACTCCAACCTTGGCGATGATGAAAAAAATGTGTGATCATGAAAAGTCCGCATCGTTCGATAGTGAATTTAACAATAGTTCATCAAATGGTTATGGTTAAGAATAAAATATTTTTTTATTTTACATTATCAGCTACAATATAGTTAGTATAAATTGTAATTTTTTGCTTTACGCTAAATTTTCTTTACATAATTTTTGAGGTGTTGAAATTAAGTATTTATTTTTATTACATAATTAGCGTTTTCAATAATAAAATTCACTAAAGTATAAAAATAATAAAAAAAACGCATAACTAACCAATAAAACATTATAATATTATTAATTACATTCTAAGCAATTGTACACTATGCAGTAATGTAAAATCACAATTTATCATGAAAAAAGCCAATAGTTATCTGTAACTTACTTCATAAAATTGTCATAAGATCATTCTTTCCATGATCCTCTATAATTGGTTTAAATGTAAAAAAATTATATTTATTGCAAGAAAGGTAGAAACTATGGGCAATTCGTTTTTATTTTCTATGTTGTGAAAAACTTTAAAAACAACTGCGCAATTTAAACAATCATAATAAATAAATCATACCATCGACAAAATTATACTAAATAAATCAAGTAGCAAATCGAAATTGATAATTATGTTACAACCATTATTACAAGATTCTTTTTAAATGCTGTATTTTACTTTTAGAAAAGATAAGTCCATTTTGTTAGAATAATACTAATATATGTGGGATTTTAATAGAGATGTAGGTCTCGAGACCAAAGCCTTAATCTTGAGACTCATATTTAACTGTCTTAGTCTTGGTATTGGTCTTGAAGCCTAAAGTCTTAGTCTTGGTCTTGAAAGCCTAGAGTATTTGTCTTGGTTTTGGTCTCGGACCTCTACTGCCTTTTACTTTATTGATCCTTACAAAAAATATCAACTCAATAAATGGATTAGTTATTAATAACAAACCGTAGGTTGCAGCAACCTCCCGTTCTCAATGATAGTTTTGATCCCGGTCTTGTAAAAACTTTCAAAGTTTTGGTATTGGTGTTGGGTATATTTTTTAATGTCTTGGTCTTGGTCTTGAATCATTCAGTCTTGGTCTTGGTCTTGAGCCCAAATGTCTTGGTCTTAGTCTTGGTCTGGGCCTTTACTGTCTTGACTACATCTCTGGTTTTTAATAGCAGGGTTTATATTTATTTAATTAGTTATAACTTTCTTTGTAGAGTGTAACTATTATTTCATCAGGAGTAATGTTAATGAACAATTAATGGCTTAAAAGATTTATCATTATAAAATGTTTTTTTTCCTTTTTATATCTGTTTTTAGATCCCATATAATATTATATTACAAAGTACTCTATTAACTCTTTTTTTTTTCTTTCATAAACAAATGTTCACTAATACAAATACTGATTTACTTTGATGAACTTAATACTGTAGGATTCAACCTTGTAAAAGGTGCAGTAAAAGTTTAAAGAAAAACTGCACAACATTTCTGAAATTAGGAAAGTTCAACTGTTTTTAGGAAAATTCAATAAGGCTAAGGAACTTTTGTAATTTTTGGAGCTTCAACCCTTTTTAAATAATGAAGTTAAGGTAAATTTAGAAACTTTGATTTCATTTAAAAAACTTTTAAAATTATTCATAAAAACTTTATTTTATTTTTTTATTTTACTTTTTTTTCAGATTTTCAATAGTGGGTTGCAATTACCTGCTCTTGAAAACCTGAAAAAATTAATCTAAAATTAAAATGTTTTTAGAAACTTTAAATTTTAACTTAATATAATAAATAAAATAACTTAAAAATGTTTTATAATTTTAATCTTGATAACAAAACCTTGTTTTTTAAATTCTTAAATTTTGAAATTGTAAAATGATTCAAGATAGCGATCACTAAGTAGTCTGAAAAGTGATTAAAATAACAGCTGTTTTCTGAATTGTGAATTTTTCAAAAAAATTTCAACGCAAGTTATTGATATTGACTTTGGTTTTGTTGTTGTGTACTGAAGTGTGCAACCAAAATTTATTTGAGGTAGATTTTCCTTCCTATTTTTTGTTGTTGTTGTTGTTCAAAACATTTTAGAAAAAGTATACTATTTTGTTCAAATTGTCTAGAACTGGAACTTCTATATCTTTTATACTATAGGGGAGAATAAGCGGTTTATATATATGTATATATATATATATATATATATATATATATATATATATATATATATATATATATACATATATATATGTATATATATATATATATTTATATATTATATATATATATATATATATATATATATATATATATATATATATATATATATATATATATTTGAGTTTAAACAAAATATATATGCGTAATAAAAAATAATTTTTTTGTTTCGCAAATTCAATTTTTTTTAAAATTAAAAATCTCGCTGCATTTTTTCTTGTTTTACAAATTATTCATATATATATATATATATATATATATATATATATATATATATATATATATATATATATATATATATATATATATATATATATATATATATATATATATATATATATATATATATATATATAGATAGATAGATAGATAGATATGAATAATTTGTAAAACAAGAAAAAATACTGCGAGATTATAATTTTAAAAAAATTGAATTTGCGAAACGAAAAAATTGTTTTTTATTACGCTTATATATTTTGTTTAAACTCAAAAATGATCAATAATTCTTTTGAATAATTAAATTACATCACAATTTTATTTGATGTTCGCTGTCTATTTTGCAAAAAAAATCCTTGCAGAGGTGATCTTTAAATCAAATCAAGCGAATAATGCTCAAAACTTTTCACAATTGAGTAAAACGCTTTATTGCGTACGGCAGACGATTAAAGTAATTACTTCGGCACTATTTTCGTAGAAAACAACCACGTGTCATTCTTTGTGTGTCCAAATAATTCCTTGTATTCGAATAATTTTTATTTTAAGATTAGTTTTTATTTTTAAATAAATCAATAAATATGCAAATTAAACGTAAATAAATAATATTCGTCAGAAATATAATAAGAATAAAATACACTAATATAAATATACCTAATACAATGTATATAAAATATGTAAAACAATTGTTAATTATTTTAGATACAAGTTTCATAATTAGGCAATTCTCTAGTTATATTTTCATAATTACAATCATTATATTACTTTTATTTTTACTGGTGAAATAAATAATTTTATGTGTTGCATAGGAGTTTTTACGAATACAAAAAATTGCCAGATTCTTGTAATCTTTAACTGAATTACCACATAAATTTGTTGAATTCACTTGGTTCCGCAACCAAATCGAAAACCGGAATTACATAAATTCGTTAAATTTATGCAAATCCGGTTACGGAAAGAGTTGAATAATATGATTTAAATCAATAACATGAATTAACCAACTTTTTTAACAAAACTTTTATATCACTAGAAATTTTTTATTAATTTATTTTAAGTATGATGACAATCTGTACAAAACAAATTGAGAGAAAAATATTTTGCACGTTGCAGTATTTCATTTTTCGCCTTAGGTTAGAATTATCCTATCATCGCATTTTTGCGTTTTAAGGTAAAACGATTCTAAAAGTAAAAACTTCAGGAGACTTTTTATTTCAAAAGATTTTATTACTTATGTTTTCTCTTTTTTTATTTATATTTTAAGTTTTTATAAAATTTTATAACATCGTTCTTAGGTACATAACACAATTAATTACTCAAAATTTTCAAAAAGTGGAGATAAAACTAGATAGTTTTAATCTCGGAAACGGAATGACAACAGTAACCCAAATAATGGTGTTAAATTCCGTAACCGGAGAATTGTCTTGTAGCGAGACAAACGTAACTATGGTAAAATGCGTGAAAGAGATGCTATTTATTATTGTGCAGAAGTATTTCAGCTTGATTGCACATAAAAATCTGAAATTGAAAGTTATGGATTTTGTAGTTATTGTAAACAATTTTCGGTGGCAAATAATGTTTAACTATGTTTTAAACAATATTAATTGTTTAGGTTAAACTATATAAATTGTTTAAGTTAAACAACTGACCAAATCATATAAAAAATTTTTTTCGTCATACCATTTTTTTTTTTTAGTTATAAATTTAAATTTCAAGGAATGAAACGTTTTGTACACGGACTTAAAAATTATTTCAAAGAACAACAGCTCAGTGATAGAATATTGAGTATTGTTGAAATCGACGAGGAATTTATTTCTTATAAAAAGCGAAAGTTTGAATGTGAAACTGAAGGAACAGGTAAGTTTTTTTTTAAATTGCTTAGTATAATGAAAAATTTTGAACTTTAATATTAATTTTTAATATTTAAATTACTTCTAAATTAAGTTAGATAAAATTATGTCACTCTAAAGTTCTCAATAAATATAAAATAAGTTCAGTAAATAGTTCTCCACTCATAAAATAGATGTTGTTTTGTGCAAAGCTTATCTCATATAAGAATATAAAAAATAACGAGTAGCTCACTACTTATTATGCTAAACAAAATGCTACTATAATCTTATAATAAAAAAAAAAAAGGGAAGAAGCAGTGGTGATTTATGTATTGCTTCAATACATCACTTCAAAGTCAGTGTATGGCAGTATTATAACTGTTCTATTTTAAATCTGCATTTTGATTATTAGTTATAACTTGTGTTGAAAATTTGTTTGCATATAAGAATAAGAGCTTGTATTAAAATGTTGTTTTAAATTTTAAGTTTAGTTTTTACTTAATTTTTTTTATTTAAGAATGTTTGAGCAGTATATTTGTTTAAAATTCACAAAATTCAAAAAATGTTTATGTAGAGTGATGCAATTTGTATGCAAGTTGTGTGGATATTAGAAGAGACCCATAAATTTATATGCAAATTGTGTAGAATAAACTAAATAATAGAAAAGAACATATAATTTACAGAACAAATACCAGCTATAATAAAAAACTTTAATACAATTGAAATTGAAAGCTATATTTTTATACATAGATTTCCTAATCAAAATATTCTTCTTATTTATTATAACTAGTTTATTAAAGTAAATAAACTTTATAGCTATGTAAATATATTTTTGGTAGAACTCTATCAGCTGTACTTTTGATTAACTGCACAACTACACATTATGATCAGTTTTTTATTAGAATATTCTTGGTTCCATACTTGTTTAGTTTAGATGGCTAATGCCACATTTTTATTTAAATAAAACATGGGAATGTTGAAGAAACTTTTTTTTACTATCAGATGCTTTTCTTGGCATTAACCTGTTTTGTAGAGCTATTTTTTTACGATACTACTGCTACAATGAAAATTGTTATGTGATGTTTATGAACTTCTTTTAACTTTCTTTTAAACTACATTTAAATTTAACACAGCTATGGAGCTTTTCCACTTCCAAATAATGCATGTTTATTTTAAGAAATATGAAATCTACTTTTTTTGTTAAAGCTTAACCATTGTTTACATGAAATTATAACTGCTTTATTGTCTATTACATTGTAATAGTGACAAAATTGTTTTAATTGCTTTCTATAGTACACTATATTAAGTAATTGTTAAACTTTGTAGTATTTTTGATTTGTAATTTCCTCAAAATTTTAATACAGAAGACTACTGTTTTTGTAAATCATTTTTGTTTTTAAAATGTTCTTTAAGTAAATATCTGTGTTTTTTACCTTAATGTCACCTTTATAAGCATTTTTGACCACAACTTTATCAAGGTTATAAATTAGGTTTTAAAGAAACAGATGGTTTTAATAAATATTTTATAATATATATAAAGAAAGGTTTTATTCTTTAGGTTTTAAAAAAATCAAGTTTCATGAGATATCTACAACCGATTATCAAGGTAAGAAATATTAATGGTAGGCAAAGTACTAAAAGTATACAGTGTACTTTTAAGTACACTGTATACTAAAGTTTTTTCACTTTTTCAAGTTTTTTATCAAATGGCCTTTAGCAAAGTTCAAAACACATTCATTTATTTTTATATGCGTTTTACATTATATAGCTAAAAATTTTGGCAAGTGTAATTGTGTGGTTTGTCAAGAAATAAGGAACAATTGTTATCCAATGATACTGGTTCGATTCTCTTTTCATATTTTTTTCCCTAAAGTGTTCATGATTTTTTCCCTACAGTTTTATTGAATTTAAAATTTAAAATTGAACATTTAATCAAGTTAAGTGACAAGACTTTAGCTGAGGACACTTGACACAAGGCTTTAGCTGAGGACACTTGACACAAGACTTTAGCTGAGGACACTTGACACAAGACTGTAGCTGAGGACACTTGACACAAGACTTTAGCTGAGGACGCTTGACACAAGACTTTAGCTGAGGGCACTTGTAAAATTAGATTATGGTGTGCAACAGCTTCCTATGAGTCAAAATGTGCTTTTTAGAGAAAAAATTTCAGACCAATAGTTTAGTTGTAATTTTTTATGGTGGGATAGTGTGAGACTAAATCATTAAACCAATGTCTGCATAACAATGTATTCATCATTTATAATTTTTTAATTTTTCATGTTTTTCATAAGTTGTCTAAATAATTTTGAAATACTTACATATTTTCATTGTTTTTAAAGTAAATCATTTTTTTTAAGTTTGTTTATTTTAATTGGGCATCTGTTTCTCTCCATGCTTTTTCGTTAGGTATTAACCGTATATAATTTTGATTTTGAGGAAAGTTTTGCATTTTTCATAGAACAATTTAACAAACTGTTTTTTGAATAAATTTAAAGAGTGATAAAATATTGAAAATGTTGAAACAAATAATCAATGTGAAGTTTCTGATGAGCAAATTTAAAAAGTTTAATGAAAGTGTCAACATATATACTGTTTACAACCGCAAATTTATTAAAAAATTTATTTTTTGACCAAAATTAATGGAGAATAAAAACTTTTAAACGAGAATAAAAAAAAATGGTAAAAATGGTAAAAGGTATTCAGAAAGACATTTACTACATTTTTATTCAATATATTCTTTATCAGCATCAATCACAGCTTTAAGGTGACTCCTGAACTTGAGGTCTGAAACATTGTCCTTGGGCATCTTGTTCCACTCCTTCTTGATGACAGCCTTCAGGGAGTTGACATTGTTGTGGGGACATCAACAAGCCCTTCACTTTACATATGCCCAAATTGATTAGTCAAAGAGTTGACAAATCTGGAGATCCATGTGGCCATAACACTTTTGATCAGTGTTTGGGCTGAGATACCTATAAGATCCAGAGGTGGCCTCAGGTTCTTCTGGAGCCACCTCTGGGTCTTATGGTACATATGTGGTGGTGTTTCATCTTGCTGGAACACCACATTTTTGTCTGGAGAGTAGTGAGCATTAACCCAGAGCTTGACATGTTTCTCCAGGATTCAAATGTACTCATTGGTGTCAACTTTCTGACCAGATTTGATGAAAACCGGAGGCATTTTGAGACCATCAGATGAAAGCAGGCCAAAAATCATAACTTAAGCAGAATGTTTGGTCTTGAATGTATACTTTACATACTGTTTGATTTGGTTGATGACTAATAAAATAATTGGTTCTAGTATTTGACACACAATAAACAGTAAACAATTTTTTATCTGAGAAGATGATGGTTGTTGGTCTCTTCTTTAAGATGCTCAGAAGTTTCTTTTATCTTTTAAATCTTTTTCTTTTGAGATTAGGGGAAACCTGATGTTTTTTAAATGTGACCCTTGACTTTGCCTTCAGATCCTTTCTGACCAAGTTTCTGATGGTGTGCTTACTCACTAAGAGCTCTTTAACCATTTTCTTTATTGACCTTACTGGATTCTGAGAAATTCAGCTCTTGACAGCTTTGATCAATTGAAAAGTTTGAAATGACCTCTTTAAACCACAGCCAAGCTTTCTTTCAACACAACCAGTTGTTTGAAAATATTTAACCACAGTGCAGAAAGTATTAGAGGCTTGTTTAGCCACTTGGAAATCTTCAACAATTAGTTTATTTTTACTAATTTTTGGTTGTTTTTTTGTTTTATTTTTAATTTCAATGTTTAATATGTTAACAAAAACAAGCTATATGCGTAAAATTAACACATTTATGTAGAATATGGCATTTATTGAAACTTTTTCTTTACGTTTCTGATATATAGAAATTTTCAAATAATACACCAAGTTATTTAAAGTATTATTTGAGGTTAAAATTTTTTAATTTCTTGTTTTGAATAAATATTAGACTTTTACTGAAAAAAAATAATTTTGAAGTTTGATAACATAAAGTTTAGTACAAAGATGAATAACTTTAAATATAAAATTAACTACAAGTTGTTAAATAGATAATAATCTAGATTAATCTGTAAATACCCAGATCAGTTTGAACAACCTATTTCACTTACAACAACTTTAGTTAGAAAAATGTTGGAATAAATATTTATTTGTTATGTATTGGATTATTTTGTTATGTATTTGTTATATGTTTATCACTAAAATGTTTTTATAAGCTAATTTTTTTTTTAGCTTTACATGACTCAAGCTTAAATGCTACATCAATTGAATCAGTTTTAGAAATGACAGATCGAAAAGGCTGTGATCTAAATAGTTTATCAACTGGTTCATGCCAATCAGAAATCAGTGAAGTAACTTTTAAAAAAACTGCATCTGATGAATCAGTATATGTCACGTTTCCAATTCACTCTTTAGTGCTTTGTATCAGCAGTGATTTTTTTAAGAAGCTTCTTGTTGATTCTGGAATGAAAGAGAATTCCATGAATTCTGTAACTTTAAAAGTCAATAAAGGGGAAGGGAAACACCTAGAAATGCTTATTGAAGCATTTTATAGCAGTGATGTTTTGAACAATATATCGCTTACAGATTTATTGTGTACATTGAATGTTGCTGCTCGTTTTTCATGTTTTGATTTTATTCAACAGGGTCTTGAACATTTAAACCACAGTGAAATCAAATCAGTAACAGAATGTGATATTATTCTCTCTCATATTTCACAAATTCTTGCATTGTTTAATAATAATGAACGTTATGAGAACATTAAAAATTGCTGCACCAAATTTTTAGCAAAGAAATTTTTTCCTCTTGAAATGCAGTTCGAACAGCAAAAAGTTTTTAACTCGTTAAGTCATTTTACAGTAAATCTTTTGATGATGTCAGACCACTTGTTAGTAGTAAGTGAAAACAATGCTTTGAACTTGATTTACCAATGGCTTTTAAATAATGAAGAATATCAAACTCCTGAAATAATTGAGTCATTATTAAAAACAATCCGTTATCAAAATCTTCATGTTGATCAGTTTTGCGATACTCTATCAGTATGTGACAAAATTTTAAATAAATGGTCTTCATATTCATCATGGTATGTTGATGTACTTAAGTATCATGCTTTACCACAATCTGCACGTAGTATTCGTGGGATAAAAGAACTCCCTGCAAATCATGCATTCCCCATTGCAATAAATAATCTAGCTGCAAAGCGACATTTTAAATTGGAGAAAGAAAATTTGAATCTTATTGATGAACAGTCTTTTAAAATAATATGGGGAGGTTGTTGCTTGGTTCCATTGCTATCATTAAAAGAAGCAAATGGTAATTTTATTGTCAAAATGAAAATAAAATTGATCAATGTTTTTCAACCTGAAATCAACAAGAATGCTGTTCATCAAATAATTGACATTTATTACTGTTTACTTCCTGGTTATGTAGATTTCCAAGAATCTTTAATGCATACTTCAAAATTTGTTCAAAAATATGTAAGAAAAGGTACAATTTTTTTTGGAGAAAATAAAACTGTTCATAACTTTCATAGTATTGCAAAAATTCCAGTTGAATTTGCTGAAAATGTTTTGGAAAACGGACTCAACTTGATCATTCTTTTTACTGGCATTGCTTATTCTTGGCGATGTATAAATTTAAAGAAAGTTAAATCTCATAAAAAGTTAATATCATTTTTTAATGTGTCAGATTTAGAATTCAACAAGAACCCAGATTTATTATAAATATAAAGGTCTTATTATGATTATCAAATATTTGCAAGCTTTTATATATATATATATATATATATATATATATATATATATATATATATATATATATATATATATATATATATATATATATATATATATATAACATACATATATCATGCAATAAAATTAATAACTCATTAAAAATATTTGACAAAAATAGAAATACTAGAAACATAGTGCATTATAGGAAATACAAAAATTAAGAAATTTCCAAAATAGCAAAGCATTTTACATTCTTATTTTATAATAGACAACAAATGACTGACTTTAGCATCTGTGTCCGCCTTTATCCTCAAAAAACTTTGATTAATGCAATATGAATTAATAATTATCATTTTTTACAATTTAATAAAACAAAAATAATCAAATAGTTTGTATTGTATTTTATAAAACAAAATTAAACTTGTTTTTTTTTTGTATAGGTTATTAAAAAATAAAATGATATTTGTTCTCTTTTCTATTGGTTTTATGGAATCAATATTTTTACTGTATTGTTGAATGCCATGTTTTTGAGATGCAGATGCTTATAGCCAGTTGTACAGAAATTTTAGCATTAAAGTTTTCTAATAGAAGGTATATTGTTTTTAACATAAAAAGATAAATTAACTTGTAATTCTCGTGGAACACATTTTGCTGGTACATAAAGAATTTTTTGTGCACAAATATTAAAAACAATATTGTATTCAACAAAAATGTTTTTCTCTTATTTTCAATATTTTTTTTCAAGCTATTTATTCTTATATAATTATTTAACTTGTTATTTATGAATATCAAATCAAATAATTGTTATTAAATTAGAATAATAATTAGAAATACATTTTATTAATTCTTTAATACTTTAACATTTTTTTTAAGTTCAAGTTTTTTTGACGTAAATTAAGTTTTTATATATTCCATAGTTGTATTTATTTAGGCTTTGAATTGTTATTAAACAAATTTATTAGTTTTTATACTTTTTTTTGTTTGTATATAATTTTTTACCTTCTTACGTTCTTAAAAATAATTTCTTTTATTGTAAAAACGTTTTAATTGTATATATATCTGAATATTTATTGTAATATGTATGATAACCTTTTTTTTTTTGTATTTTATGCAAAGTTATAAATATATTTATAGAAGATATTGACACTGTTATATTTTGTTTTTAATTATATTTCCTTTTTTTTAGCTACAGTATTATTATTGTTAGTAGTAGTAATAATAGTAGTAGTAGTAGTAGTAGTAGTAGTAGTAGTAGTAGTAGTAGTAGTAGTAGTAGTAGTAGTAGTAGTAGTAGTAGTAGTAGTAGTAGTAGTAGTAGTAGTAGTAGTAATAGTAGTAGTAGTAGTAGTAGTAGTAATAGTAGTAGTAGTAGTAGTAGTAGTAGTAGTAGTAGTAGTAGTAGTAGTAGTAGTAGTAGTAGTAGTAGTAGTAGTAGTAGTAGTAGTAGTAGTAGTAGTAGTAGTAGTAGTAGTAGTAATAGTAGTAGTAGTAGTAGTAGTAGTAGTAGTAGTAGTAGTAGTAGTAGTAGTAGTAGTAGTAGTAGTAGTAGTAGTAGTAGTAGTAGTTAGCACCCAGGATGTAGTTGTTAGATTCCTGGCTTTAAAACTAGAGGTACATGGTTTGAGGCCAAATCTGGCTATATGTACACCATTGGTATGGAAGGAGATGCAAACTTCCTAGTTAAATGCTGTTCTGCGGTGCTCTATGATAAGACAGTAAGGGCTTTTTTTATCTAAAAAGCTAAAATAAAAAGTAGTAGTAGAAGTTTATCAATCTCATTCAGAATGTCCACCACAGGAAAGCATCAACTTGTTTAAGTATTTTAAATACTCAAAGATGATTTTTCTTTTTAATTCACTGTTCACAGTGGCCAGATTTTCCATTGAGTTTACTGTATTTAACTAACTCAAAGTTTCTAAATGATGGAAACCTCAGATGTTGTCAGGGTAGCATTATTATTTTCAATTTACTAATCTTGTATTAGAAAAAAAAATTTCTTTTAAAAAAAATACAAAAAATTTATAAATGTATATATATATATATATATATATATATATATATATATATATATATACAACCCTCAGATTAGGAAAAATGAGGTTGGCAATAATTTGCCGACCTCAATCATTTAAAAGTTGGCATCAGGTCGGCAAAACAAATTTAATACAAATGTCTCACCATAAGACATAGAAACAAGTTCAGCAATTTTTTGCTGACCTCAAACACTTCAAGGTTAGAAGTTAGGACAGCATTGCCAAATTCCGAGGGTTTCTATATATATATATATATATATATATATATATATATATATATATATATATATATATATATATATATATATATATATATATATATATATTCTATATCTTTAATATAATTTACTTATATAATATTATTTTAAGAAGTTTATTTTTTAACTTTAAAATACCACAAAGTCTATGAGCTTATTTTGAATTTTAAAGTTAACAAAAATATGTTAACTTAAATTATGTTTTTTTTAGAAAAAAATGTCTAGTATAATAATTGAGCAATACCTTGAAGCTCTTAAAGGTTACTTTAAAAAGGAAGAACTAAGTGATAAAATTCTGCACATCATGGAAGCCGAGACAACCCAGGTGGTACTCAAAACACAGAAAATTAGAAGAAAGAGAGATCAAACTAGAGGTAAAACTTATAATAATGTTTATATTCTTATGAATTTTTTTGAATATTTTAACATTAATAAATTTTGAAAATATTTTATTTCATATTTTAATTATGTTTTTATTACTGTTTTTAATTCTTGTTTTTAATTTTCTTTTTGGTAAAAATCTGAATGCACTCAGGATATTTATTTAACGTTCCAATAGTTTCTTGTTATGTTAATTTAACAAATCTTACTTATTTAGTTAATTAAATCAATTTAATTAATTAATATAACTAAACTTGTGTTACAGTGGTGATTATCTATTTGCTTTTTTACAGTTTTCTGACACTTCTTAATGGGTTTGTATCAAATTTTATGACTGCACTTTATGTTTGTATCAAACTTTATGACAATAGCACTTGATGTTAGATCTTCTTCACTAATGAATATTGGTAAATGTCAAAATGTTTGATAATTTGTTGAAATAATGTTCAACTAATGCTAAACTGATTTTTTATGATTGTGCTTTGCATACTTTCTGCCTTACTTTGTTACTTTATTTTAGTGGATCCTTTGTTAGATTCCTCTTTGTTGTTATTGTTCAACTATGAATGTATTACAATTTATAAAATTAATATAAAGTTTTATCAGTTTTTTATATAGTAATTTTTAACTATTTTTACTTTAGAAACTCTTTTTTTTATTTTGTTCAAGTGTTTTTCATATTTAATCAAATGCATACACATTTTTCAGAAAGGAGGTAGAAAAGAAAGAAAGAATGATACAAAAGTTGGATTAGAAATGTATCCATCAGATATAAAAGTATTCTGCAGTGTTATTTGAGGTTGCTAAGTTGTTGTTTTATTTTAGTTATAAAATTTATTTTTATAATTCTCTTATTTTTATCAATTATATATCATTTAATATTTTGTTATCATGGTTTGAATTAGATTTTTTTTCAATGTTAATTCATCTCCCATGGCCTGAAAGGCCAGTTAAGGAGACTTGTTTAATTTTGGTTAAAACCCTCTCTCAACTCTATAACTCCAAACACAAACCTTGATGAACAAGGTCCCTGTGCTGATAAACAAGTTAAACATGATACTACCAAGAACATTGTGGGGATCAAATTTGAATATATATATATATATATATATATATATATATATATATATATATATATATATATATATATATATATATATATATATATATATATATATATATATATATATAATTTCTAAACTTCTAATCATTATAATAGATTTTTAAACATTATAAAAAGATTTACTTTGAAATCTTATTAATTATAGAGTTCCATAGAGAGTCATAGTTTAGAATTTGTATTCTTTTCTAGAGGTACAAGTTCGAAAACAAACAAATATTAGTACAATAAAAAAAAACAAATCCTCTATTTCTTAACTTTTTTTTCTTTATAATAAATTCATTTATTATAAAGAAAAAAAAGTTTCGAAATAGAGGACATTGAATTATCTTTATATTTTCAAAAAAATATAAAGATAATTCAATGTCCTCTATTTCTAAACTTTTTTTTCTTTATAATAAATGAATTTTAATATAAAAGTTAAATTGTAAAAAGCATTTTTAATATGCTTCTTGTTTACCATTTTACTTGTCTGAGTCAAAATATCAAATAAATAAAATGCACTATCAATTTAAAATTCAACAAGCTTTTAAATATAAAATAAAAAAAACATAAAGTAAAAATAAAAAAAATAAAAATAAAAAAAAACATTTAATAAAAATAAAAAAAACATAAAATAAAATAAAAAATAAAAAGTTTCGTGAAGTTAAGAATATTAAGTAGTTCAAGTAGTTGAGAATATTTCAAATCTTGATCAGCAAGGTTGTTTTCCCTCAACTTTAATCTTAATAAGCAAATTTGTTTCCCCTCATCTCGAATATCAATAAGCAAGGTTGTTTTTTCTCACCTTAAATATTGATAAGCAAGGTTGCTTACTCCCACTTCAAATCTTGATGAGTAAGGTTGATTCTCCTCTCTTCAAATCTCAATAAGCAAGGTTTCTTCCCATTGCCTCAAATCTCGATAAACAAGTTGTTTTCCCTCACCTTAAGTTTCAATAAGCAAGGCTGTTTTTCCTTCTCTCAAATTTTGATAAGCAAGGTTACTTCCTCTTGACTATCGACGTTCATTATTTAAAGTAGTATAAATGTAGTCTTTAAATCAAAATTTATAATTTAAAAAAAATGTATCATGAATGGAGCAGTTTAGTTTTATTTTAATGTCTGAATATTGGTTTAGTTTCAATCATCATATTTTGTTATGAGTATGACTTGAAAAATCGGACACAAATTTTTTAATAATAAAGTTCAAAAGACATTTTTTTCTTTTTAACTCATATTAATTATGATTTTAGATTATTTGAATTATTTTTTGCTATTTTCTTATTTCTCTTTGTGTTATGTAAAAAATTAAGTTAAATATCAATACATTGACTTATTGTTTACTGAGGATCAACTTATTGTTTACTCACAATTGACACATTGTTTACTTAACATTGACCTATTGTTATCTAAAATATCATATATATAAAGTTTATTATAAGTTTTTGATGGGCACACAATGCAATTTGATGCATAACAATTTTGCAGATATTTTAAAAACAAAAATAGTTATATATAAAATACATACATTCTAAAAACATACACGTAATAGGTTGGACAAGATGACTAATGGTTGATCATTTCTGTTAAAGATGTGTCAGAAAATTTTTAATGTTTGAATTTTTTTGAATCCTGTTTTTATTTATTTTTTTTATTGTTAATGTTAGTATAATTATCATAAATAGTATTAATATTTTTAGATGAAATTGAAAAAAAAAAATCAGAAGAAATCATTTTTAATGAAAATTTAAAAGATTCAATCAACACAGTAGAATCAGAAGATATAAACATTCATAAATGTGAGGAAAAAGAAGTTGATTTACGGGCATCTTCTTCTGAAGAAAATTTTTATGGTATTTTATATATATATATATATATATATAATTTATATATTTTTTATCGAGATTTTATAAAATTAGAATCTTGAATAAACAATAAACCTGCTTGATCAATAATTATCAATTAAGTCATAAATAACTTATTCCAGGGTTGATACAACCTACCTTCCTATATCCACCTTTAAGTATAAGAAAGATTTTCATTTTTTCTTAGACGCATTAACTGAGGTTGAACAACTTTCAGAAAAACTGATTCCATTTGATAGAACAACTAGCCAATTAATTACTGATAAACCATCCAATCAATCAACATATGAAAAAATTAAAACTGATGCACAGAAAAAAAATTTAAAGTGGTTTTGTGATTCGATTTGTGATAAATTAATATTTACAAATCCTTTGACTCGCCAAGAAGAATGCAAAAATGTTGGAGAACTTGATGGGAAACCTCTGGCTGGGTTTGTTATATCTTTTGATCAATACGAAGACCAGCAACGAGAAACTCTGTCTGCATTGGCAGTGAGTTTGGGTGCTTGCGTGCAAGATGAAGTGTTTTCTATTAACAAAGATCATCGAGTTATTGCTAGTACCCATTTGATATTGAAACGCTGTGAAGGTATACAATTCCTAACTGCTTCCCATTGGCAAATTCCTTGCATAACTGAAGAATGGTTGTGGAAGTGTTTAGACATCCAAGGTGTAGCATCTACAGCAACTTACGAGATTTCAGAGAAACAGAGTTCCAAGTTTACAAGCATTCATTGCTTTTTCCCCGTTCACGGCTTAATTTTGTGTATTAGCAGCAGTTACTTTAAGTTCTTGATATGTGATCAAAACAAGGCAAGCAATAATAAAGACATTATTGTGTATGTTAATCTTGGTGATAGCCAATACGTTGAGCTGCTTATACATTCATTGTATAACTTTGATGTATTAAAAAATGTTGGCACTTTGAAGCTCCTAAAAGTATTAGAATACGCTGACCGTTTTCAATGTGACGCTCTTCTTAAACAAGGTCTTCCATTAATAAACAACATAGTAATAGATAATATCGAGGAGTGCAATCTATTGTTAGAGTACATTTGTGTTTTTCAAAGTCTTGAGCATATAATTCCGAGGGATTTCCTAACTAAAGTTAAAGAAACATGTTCTTATTTTTTGGCAAATTTAATCACTCCCTTAGAATGCTGCATTTTCCAAGAATCTTTTGGCCTAATAAATCTATCTGGACTATTAATACTACTCAAGTCTAACTATAAGTTTCTTTTTAATGAAAATAGTTTGATTCCTTTTCTGTTAGATTGGTTAGAATTCGACAGTTCCCGACAAACCGAGGACAACATAAGAATCCTTCTTTCCGAATGTCGCTACGAATTCATGAGTGTAGAATTTTTAAAAGATTGTTTATCGCCTACAGACGCAATTTTCAGTAAATGGCCTGGTTTCTTTGATTGGTATATCGATGCTGTCACATATCCTGCAGTTCCATTAAATTCAAAAGAGTTATACTTATGTAAAAAGAGAGAGAACAGATCTGCTGTCAATTTTTCAGAAGGTGCATCGCTAAAGCATGAACGTAATATAAAACTAATATGGATAAATGATCAGTTTGTTCAACCGTTTAAATGTCGCCAAAGAATTATCTACAAAGGTTACTTACTTACACCTGTTGTCAAAATTTGTAAGGAGAATAACAAGCATAAAGTTTTACTACAGATGTATGTTGGAAAGAAAATTACTAAAAGAGAAATGAGAAATTTTTATTTTAGGGTTGATTTTCATTTTGCAATTTTGCCTGGGGATTTGGAATGCGCAGAAGAACTTACCTACAGGAAATGCAAAAAATCTCTTGATATAAGAATTGCATCGTGTATGATTTTTAGTTATGATAGTAACAGAGTCGAATTTCAAAACAGCAATCTTGCAGAGATATCTTTTGGAACTATTGATGGAGGTTTAGTGCAAAGGTTTAGAAAGCAGGGCGTGTTTGCTTTATTTAATTTTTCTTATAGCGAAGTATCTTAAGTAAATTTTAATATTCCTTGGAAGTATATTTTATTAATATTTTTTTTTAATTTTATTCACATGTATTTATGATAAACTGTATTACAGATTATATATCTATTTATTATATATTTTATTCCAGATTGCATATTTATTATTTATATTATTACAGATTATATATTTATGATAAAAATATCTTATTTTTAAAATATTAGATTTTGGTTGAGCGCCGGCTGAGCACCATTTTTTAAATAAATTTAGGAAATGGAGCTCTTTAGGGGCCATCCATAATATGGATTTCATATATTACGTACGTATTTTATATTATATATGGATTTCATATATTATATACGGATTCCATATATTACGTAAGGACCGCGTGGGAAGGGGGTGTCCAAAGTTGAGTAAATTGCGTACGAGTGCGTATGGAAGTACGTTCATGACCTGTAAGGTTATAAAGGTTGAACACGCAAAAAAAAAAGTGATAACGTTCACTTGTGTGAATGGAAATGGTTGAGGGGGTTAGACCACCAAGCATTTGAAATTTATATGGGGGGTAAGACTACCTAGCATACGTACGCATTGGGGAGAGGGGGTATAAAAATGTACAAGGTGCAACGAGAGGAATGGGGTCTAAATCTAGATATTTTTACGTACATAATGTACAGATGGCCCCTTAGAGTAAAGTTAAATGTTCTTGCACGGTGCTCTTAGACCGAGAAAGTGCTCCAAGAAGACTTAACGGTCTTCTTGGAGCACCTTAAATAACCTTAAAAAATAACAAAAACACTTTAATTATTGTTACTGAAATTATCACAGCACCTTAGCTATATTTGGTATTTTTTGTTAAAATGAAAACAGCAGCATATTGAAAAGAATTAAACACAGTTAACTATGACTCAAGACCGTTTGTCTGCACTAAAACTGTTACCTATTAAAGCAGAAGCAGCTTAACTGAATTTAAAAAATGTTATTGATTAATTTACAACTATGAAAACAAGAAGGAAACAATTTTAGTATATTTTTAACATACTATACTTTTATACTGTAACATACTGGTCCTATTAGTTTTAAAATAAGCAACATTCTAGATAAATATAAACTATATAAAAAATATATAAAATATAAATATCATTCATTGCGGTTCTGTAGTGAACGGACGTGCTTTTGCTACAAAAGAAATAAAATAATAAAATTGATATTGCAATTTTTATTTATTTGTTTATTTATTTTTCAAATCTTATCAATAATGAGTTCAAAACTTAACACTGAAGTCTCAATAAAATTAGTTCGTGAAATATTTCAAGAAATGTTCCAAAAACAACAAAAAGATATTTTAGCGTTAATAAGTGCAAATTTAAAACTGGCTAACGATCGAATTGATGGAATGCTAAAAGAAATTAATACATTAAAGAACTCTTGTGAAGTTTTAAAAAAGGAAAACGAAAACCGAAATACCGATCTTAAAAAAACAAACAAGCAGATGATAAAGTATGAAAAAATACAAAAAGACATTGAAGAAAGTCTAACGTTCTATCAGGATTGCCATGATAAAAAAGTCAGCGATTTGGAAAAAAAATTGATAAATGATAAAAAAGTCAGTGATGTGGAAAAAAAAATATGGTCGAATGCAACCATAGTGGAGAATGAAAAAAATAGATTTAGACAACTAGAAGATCGTCAAAGGAGAAACAATCTTCGAATCGAAGAAGTCAATGAAAATGATAACGAAAACTGGGATGATACGGAAGTAAAAATAATAAACCTTCTTGAAAATAACCTCAATGTAAAAGATGTAATCATAGAAAGAGCGCACAGAACTGGTATTATCGATAATAAAAAGCCTAGAACAATTGTAATTAAGTTAATAAATTATAAAGACAAAGTAAAGATTTTAAAAAACGCCAATAAACTAAAAGGTTCTGGAATTTATATTAACGAGGATTTTTCGCTAGAAACTACTATAATAAGAAAGAAACTTCTTGAAGAAAGCAAAACGCATAGGATAAACGGTAAATATTCTGTTGTTATATATGATAAGCTCATTGTTAAAGAATTTAGAAAAAAACATCATGTTAAATGATTTTTTTTTATTTCTTTTTTATTTTTATTTTTATATTGATTTATTTTTTATTTAAAATGGCTGATAATATTGTTTTATCAAACATAAATTTTAATTCACAGAAAAAGCCAATAATTTTAAACAACTATTCGGATCCCGATTATAATTTTTTTAACGATAGTCAAGTAATTAAAAATACTAGCCCGATATACTATAACCCAAATTCAAAAAATATTGATAAAGGAATGGAAGATAATTCGTTTTCAATGCTTCACATTAATATTAGAAGTATTCAAAAAAAATTTTGAGTCTTTGAAACAATTTTTACATAAAATTGACATTAGATTTCAGGTAATTTGTCTCAGCGAGACATGGTGTCACGATGTAAGCATTGAAAACAATTCCAATTTTCAATTACCTAATTATAAAGTAATTCATCAAGTTAGAGCATCAAATAAGGAAGGTGGAGGTTTGTGTATATACATAAAAAATTCAATTTTATTCAAAAGGAAACCACAGTTAAGTTCAACCACTAATAATTATGAATCTTTATGTGTTGAAATTATTAATAAAACTTCAAGAAATATCGTCATCCATGCTTTATATAGACCGCCCTCAGGAAGTATTAAGGCATTTGAAAATCACATTAAAAGTATAATTAAAAAAAAATCATCTATAAATAAATCGGTTTATATTGTTGGTGACATTAATCTTAATATATTAGAATACGACAAAAATAAAAACATTAAGAACTTTTTTAACACAATTTTTCAAAATAGTTATATTCCCCTAATCAATAAACCAACGCGAGTAACTAGAGAAAGTGCAACATCTTTAGATCAAATTATTACAAATGATTTCGTAAATATTAAAATAAGGACAGGTATATTTAAATCTGACATTTCTGATCACTTCCCTATTTTTATTCTATCGCAAAAATGTATCGACTATGATGCTTTTAGTGATAGAAAAAAAATAATTACAACACGGTTAATAAACGACGCTTCCATCAAAAATTTTCATAAACTTCTTACTGGTGTTAACTGGGACACCCTACAACTAAATCTAAATGCCGATAAAGCATATGATATCTTTTTAACTAAATTTCTTAATCTTTATAATAAAGCATTTCCGGAAGTTACTAAAGTTATCAAAACAAAAACACTTTTAAACCCTTGGATCACGAGGGGCATTCTTAAATCCTCAAAAAAAAAACAACGTTTATATAACAAGTTTCTTAAAAAAAAAACTCTCAAAAATGAAACTAATTACAAAACCTATAAACGGCTATATGAATCAGTTTTAAAACGCTCAAAGAAACATTACTATTCGGAACAATTATTTAAACACAAAAATGATTCGAAAAAAACATGGCAAATTATTAAGGAGGTAATCGGTAAAAAACGTTTACACGGTAATTTACTTCCGAAAAATCTTAAAGTTAATAAAAATTGTATTGTAAATAAGTCCTTAGTGGCCGAAACACTTAATCAGTTTTTTGTAAATATAGGTCTTATTTTATCATCAAATATAGCAACTTCTCAAATAGACTTTAAGTCTTACGTAACCTCAAACAACATTAGTGTTATGTCTAATCCTAAACTTACGGAAAATGAATTATTAGACGCAGTCTCTTTGTTAAAGCCCAAAAAAAGTGTAGGTTTCGATTCTATAAGTAGTAATGTCATTATTAAATCGATAAAATACATAAGAATTCCTTTATTACATATTTTTAATTTATCTTTAAAACATGGTGTTTTTCCAGAAAACCTAAAAATTGCAAAAATCATTCCAATTTTAAAGTCAGGCGATCCTTCTGAAGTTGCAAATTATCGTCCAATCTCAATTCTTAATTGTTTTTCTAAAATATTAGAGCGAGTTATGTATAATAGGCTTTATTCTTTTTTAAATGTAAATAATATTCTTTACCATAAACAATTTGGATTCAAATCTGACCATTCCACCGATCATGCAATCATTCACCTTGTTCAGGACATATTTAAATCGTTTGATGAAGGCAAGTATACCCTAGGTCTTTTTATCGATTTAAGTAAAGCTTTCGATACAGTCAATCATCAAATCCTTCTATCGAAACTCAAAAATTATGGTATAAAAAATACTAACTTGTTCTGGTTCGAGAGTTATTTGACTAATAGGAAGCAGTATATAGTTTATGATGAAGGAAAAACTAATTATGAGACAATTAAATGTGGTGTTCCTCAAGGATCAATTTTAGGGCCACTTCTATTTCTTGTTTATATAAACGATTTAAATAAATTTTCTAACATTTTAAATACAATTTTATTTGCAGATGATATCAGCTTATTTTATTCCAATAAAGATATCAATATATTATTCCAAACATTAAACAAAGAACTAGACAAACTAACCCAATGGTTTAAATCAAACAAGTTATCTTTAAATATTACTAAAACAAAATACACTTTATTCCATCGCCTACATAAAAAACCAGATATTCCCTTAGAACTCCCAGATCTTTTTATTGACAATCAATTAATAAAGAGAGAGCAATCAATAAAGTTTTTAGGCGTGTTTCTAGACGAAAATGTAACCTGGAGGGAACACATAGGTGTAGTTGAAGATAAAATATCAAAAATTTTAGGAATAATGTACAAAGCAAAGCAGTTATTACATCGATCTTGTTTAAAAAACATTTACTTTTCTTTTATTCATTGCTACTTAAGTTATGCGAACATTGCTTGGTGTAGCACTAACGCGACAAAAATAAAAAAATTGCTTAGCAAACAAAAACAGGCTATAAGGATAATTTCAAACGTAGATCGTTTTTCACACACACAAACACTTTTTAATGAACTCAATATCCTAAATGTATATAAACTAAACCTCTATCAAGTTCTTATTTTGATGTTCAAACTTGATAAAAATATATTACCAATCTTATTTTATTCAATTTTTGAAAAAATAAATCACATATACCCTACAAGATTTTCAAAATACAACTACATTCAATCCAAAACTTATTATTACGCTACTAAATTCTCTATTGTAAACCGAGGACCAAAGTTGTGAACATAATATTAAATAATGAAATGAAAACTAATTATTCTCTAAACCAATTCAAAACAAAACATAAGCAATTACTTTTGTTAACTGAAAACGAATTAAATTTTTTCTAATAAAACTTCTTTATATTAGAAATCAATAATTAATAGTTAATTAATTAATTACTTTAGATTATTAATACATAATTAATCAACAATTGTACATATGTTTTTATTATTTTAAATGATAATCTTCTTTTTGAGAAATTTATTTTTTATTTTTGCGTTATTTATTAATCTTTTACTTTTATTTTATACTGTTTATTTGCTTTTACTTAATTGGCAATGAAAAGTATTATAAATATAATTAAATAAGTTAAACTATAAAATGCTCTACCAATAAAATGTTTTTATATAAAATCATATCTTCTTATTTTTTCAAACCAAGTCCTAAATGTTATTTTTGTCATTTTAATATTTTATTAAATTTTGTTTCTTTTATTTTACAAAACAATTGTTAAATCTTATTCTTTGAAAAACTATAAATTTTAAACGATATGCGATATATTTAAATTTTCTTTTATAATATAAATCAGAGATATATACATTGAAACTATATTTTATTGTCAAACTATATTTTGTCTAGTAATGACGCATTTTTTGGGGCTTAATGATAAGACTAAATTTGTCTTCTTCTAGCCCCAGTCATGTAATTATTTTTTTTTATAAGTTACGACTGTAAATTTTTTTTTTTATCGGCAAAAAAAAAAAAAAAAAAAAAAAAAAATAAAGTAATATATTCAAATTTTATTAGATACATTAACTAAAACAAGAGAAATACTTAACGGTTTAATTCTAAGTTGTGTTTTTTTATAATGACGTTCTGTAAATATAAATTTAATTGTATTGATGTTTTACTAATACTATCAGTTTATGAGTCCAAAATAAGTAAATAATTAAATAATCGGAAAAAAGAGTTGGAAATTTTTTTTCAAAATCAAATCTACTTACAGTCAAAAAGTGCAAAACTGCCAAGGTCACTTAATTTTTAGTCAAAAACTTATTTAGGAGATACAAGAAGACTAAAAAAAAAAGTTAAAAAAAAAATAAAATGAGGCGGTAGAAGCATAGGAGGTTTAGTTAAGAGAAACAAAAGGAATTCGACAAAACGTACTGCAAACAGGATTTTTCACAGTTGCCCGGCCATCAGTATTATAATAAGGTGTTTATGTCAGCAATATTTTTAAATATATTTAGACAAATAAGATTGCTCTGAAAACTCTCGTGTGGTAAGCAACTGGCTCTTGTGTCTTTAAGCGTGCTCAATTTGTCACTCGGAAGACTTTGTAACTCCCGAGTGACGGATGCGTTTTTTTTGTTGATATACATTAGTATTAGAAACATGTTTTTCCATTTATAAAACATAGCAAAGCAATTATCTTTTAGTCGAATTTAGCAACGATTCACTACTCCAAAAAACAGTCAAAATGGCGTCGAAGTTGTACCGAATCCTCCAAACT